GAAAATAAATTGGCTCAAATCTGTGCTTAATTATCTTATCATCCATGGAGAATATGATCACTAGACTTCATTATCGATAATAAAGTGCTGTAGAAGGGATTGTGGATGGTCATGGCTTACCGTTTGTAGAAGTAAGCATCTGCATGTCCTCGCATCTATTCTACTCATGAAAATGGTAGTGGCAAGCCAGTGAGATTGACAGGTAACAGAAACAAGTAACTGTTACTTGGGCTGCACTCAAAAGGATCATGGGTAGGCATGAACCCAACTGATGAACTTGCACATCAAAGAACTCAGGCACATGCTTTCTTCCCCTCCTACCTTGCATCCAAAGCTTTTGCAAAATGATTGTTTCATGTAAGTGGGTGTGCACCATACACCCATCTTAATTCGGCATAAACAATCGCCTGTTTCGGTAGTCGAACTTATTTTTATAGAAGTCGTTACATGCTCATTTCGTCCCATCGTTCCTCATTGTTCTTCTACATGAAGCGCGCAGATAATATTGAACGGAGTACTCTAGATTGTCTTTCAAATAAACAAAATTACTGCTTTTTAAGTACATAGATGCGATCGCGTACTTTATCTTTCATTCAAAACCAATTGAAGTGTGGATAGTGTTAGAAACCGAACACAATTCTCAACAGATAGTCGCTAAACATTGTACGAAATTATAATGGTAAAGTCTCAGCGGGGAGAAAATTTTCGCGTGCTTCTTTTTATCTGGGTAAGGTGCCTGCTGAGGAGCACCTTTCGGCGTGCAAAATGCGCCAAAGTGAAACTGAAACAGGGGATTGGGTAAAAAGTAGTTTATAGGTCTTTTTTTTTTTTTTGAAATCATTGGTAATTCATTAAATGAACCCAGGAAGTGTACAGATTATGGGCCGAAACCCCTAGGAAAGACCAAACAACAAAAGGGCCCAAACAACAGACCACAAAAGGCAAAGGCCCAACACATGGCCTGATGAAACCCTAGCAGCCTAATCAAACTCCAAATGCTCCGCAGCCGCCGCCCAGAGTAAGCAAGCCGCACCAAATCAGCAACGTCGGAAGCGTTGACAGAGACCACTGAAGGAGGAAACCGTCAACCCAGATCCGTCGACCAACAAGCCAAGAACGGGGAAAACCTGCAAACCCACCTTCAAATGACGAAACCGCACACCGACGAACCACTGAAAGCATCAAAGAAAATGATCAGGAGCCTCTGTTGCTTGATCTTCGCCTTCGAGCTCCATGAAGCTGAAAACCACGGGAGGATCACAATAGGATTCCCAGTCTTCTCCGAAACACCAAGCCGAAGCGGTGAAGCAAGGAGGAGGATCAGAAACATGAAGGAGAAGGCAGATTGAAGAAACCTCAACCCCCTCTGTCACCAACAAAACATCTCAATGTTCAGATCTACGAAGATCAGACATGAGGAAGAAGAAGAAGCACCGATCTTCTGAGAAGAGGTGAGAAAAAGCCCCAAAAAGGAAGCAAATAACAAGGTAAAGCAGCAACAAAGCGAAAGAAAGAAGAAAAAGGGGCTACCGCCGACAACCCTAAGGCGCCGACGGCAGCCCACAAGAAAACAGAGTCTGAAGTTTTAGAGAGAGATGAGAGCGTTTGAAACCAAGAGAGAGAGGGAGGTTTACTTGTGATATTTGGTACAGTTTATAGGTCAAAGACCATCAAAAGAAAATTTCTCGGACGGCGACACTAACATGTTTCGCCATTGAAACTCGCGAACGTAAAGTGAAAGGGTAAAGGACTCGAGTCTTAGGCAGTCGTTCAACAAGCTCTGGACCAACACCGCCGCTTCATCCAACTTCCGCTGCATTTCCTCTATTGTCTCCCTTCATACGTACAGATTCACAATAGCTACAAATTAAGTATTTTGTAGGGTAGTGGAATCTCATATCCTCCATTGCTAAACCTACGGACCGAGTGGCCGACCCAGAAATTTTCCATAAAGGTGTCCTCTTTTAAAAATAAATTAAATAAAAATAATTAATAAAAAAAAACCGTAAATTTGAAAATACCTTACTCGTACAGGTTAAAAAAAGTCCATGATTTGTTTTCATATTCGTAAATAATTGTAGAATACACTTGGTGTCTATAGTGTTAAAAAAAATTGTCTCTATATACCCTACTAGACAATCATTCACGAGCTTATCGCATATTCGATTTGTAAACTTGTTCTCGATGTAACCCAAAGCTGAAAGACTCTTTCAACACTTGCCGTATTAAGGGTAGCTTGAAATTAGTTTAATTGTTAGGTTTTTAAAATAATTAGAGATAGGAAATGACATTTTACTATTACATTTTTCAAAATCGAACAACAAATGAGTTGTAGGTAAACGAAAATTAAGTTTATTAATAAAAATAGTGTTCTAGATTTGAATTACCCAATCTACCACTTATATTCCTATACACAAATGACAGTAGGATAATCATGTTTTCAAATTTCAGGGGTGTCCCTAACTATTATAAGTATGTTATACACATTTTTAGTAACTATTATATGTGTATATATTTTTACTAACTATTATATGTACGTCGTATTGTTATTCGTAACTATTATACGTATGTTATACCTATTTTTACTAACTTATACGTGTGTACACGTATGTTATACCTAGGGTAAATCAGAGGCCAATAAGAAATCTATTTTCAACTCCCCCATTAGAGTGGCATTGTTTTGCCTTTCTCTTCAACTATCTGGAAAATAATGAAGTTTCAAACGAGTAAGTTGTTAATGACTAACGAGTTGATAAGAAAGAATGGTACGATCACGAATCTTAATCTAACAAATTTCTAAACCATAAAAATTAGCCGAGAAATCAACAAGACTAACAAAGCAGTTAATTGCATCTCATTCGGTCGTCTTCATCTTGAAAACACTTTAATTAACTCTAGTAGAATATTTCAGGGCATATATATTTATTGGTCTTGGTCGTACGTAGCTTGTATTAGGAACATAGTTCTCTCAATTACTACGTAAATAATAAGAGCCCTAACCTGGGAGCATGATCTCTCCCCTAGACTAACTCTGGTCATAGGAGATACCACGTAAAAGTTGTTGTGTTCTTTTCGTTTTCCGCTCGGTGTTGGTTTAGTTTTCTATTTATTAAGGTAATGGTGTTTAGTCTACAATTTGTTAAAACTAATTGTGCCTCTCCGTCTCAGAGGTGAAACAATAACAATAACAATAACAATAATGCAATATAAACGAGCTAATCATAATAAGAGAAGAAAGACACCCACGTTAAGTACCGGACAAGGGCGAATGAATCCTTTTCCTATACGGATTTGGGTTAGAATGCATTGTCCTTGCCATGGACGGATTAAGTTTTTTCCTTTTCCTACACCAATACGAAGAAACAATTTCCACTTTCCTGTCGCCAATTCCATAAAATCTGTAAAGATCAATCAGGAAACCAAAGACGCATTCCCCAGAAGAAAACAGAGTACCCCACTGAGAATTGCTCTGAAACTAAAGCGCATAGCAGACTGTCTGGGAATTTCGCAGCGATGGTGCTCAGAATTCGTGTTCGATTTGGGAGACAAGATACCGCCGGTGCCGGAGAAAGCGTGCAACCCCCGGCGACCAAGCGCCAAAGAATCGACTCTCGGAAAGACTTCGGCCCGCCGCAGATAATGAAGGCAGCAAAGAAGGAAAAGAAGAAGAAGATGCAGAAGCAGAAGCAGCCGCCGATTGCAGCCGCCGGAGAGATCAGGAAGCCGATTAAACTGAGGATTTTGATTAAACGCCCCAATTGTCTCCCAACCCACGGTGGTTTCACGGCGGAGGTTAAGAAACCAACCGCAGCCGTCCAACAGCCGGCTTGGGCTCTGTCTCCGGGTCAAATGACCGATTCCGTTGACAGTACTGTTTACGAAGGGGGCGGCGAGCCTGTTTCCGTTAACCAAGCCTGGCGCTCAACTTACTTTTACTCCCCGGAAGTAAATAGCTACTCTGGCTTTCCGGCCGGCGGCGGCCGGCGTACGGAAGGAAGGCCTTGTGGCTCCAAGTACAACCCGATCGTTATCTCCGGCGAGGACTCCGACCAGGATGATGCCGAATCGGTCGGCGAGAACGACCCGGTGGATGATTGGAGCAATCACGGCGAGGGGGAGTACTCTTCTTCTTGTCCAAGCGACTTCGGCAGACTAAGGTTTCAAGATGAAGACGACCGAATGAGTCGCAACTGCTAGTTAGGCTTATTGATGTTTTGATTCATTTAGGGTTTTAGCAGAAGGAGAAAGAAAAAATTTCCTCCTGGGATTTGTTAGATTGAGATTCGTGACATTGTCGAGCTATGTTTGTTGTTCTTTCATGTAAACTAGTCCACTCAAAGGATGAACATAGTTTATTATGTTAATTAATGAATGGTCAGCCATTTAGTGTTTGCAAGTAAATTTTTGGATAATGTCTATATTAGTTAAATCTATTAGCCAATTTTTTTTTCTTATTATTTTTTATTTGTCAAATTGATCGAAACATTAAAGAATTGGTCAAATGTTCAATTTTGTTAGTAATATTGACTTGACAACATGATACTGACTTGAAAGATACACATGAAAGTTAACATTCCAAATATTTAGTATTTTAACTAAGAAAAGAGTTTCAAAGTTATTAACGATAACGTAAAAATGACTAATATTTTGATGCATAGCAAAAGATTTGACTAATTAATAGCATTTTAATAGGTTTGGATAATATAAAAGAATATGGAAAAAGTATAGATAAAAAATAGACATTATCCTAATTTTTTTATATGCAATCAAAATTTTGTATTAAGCACATTAGGGGAAAAACTTATGTAAGAATATCCCAAACATGGATTATTCGCCCGAGTCCGATTTAATTGGATAGGATAAAACTCGAATCCGAAAAATTATTTGTGGGTATTGATAATACTTGAATCCGAACATTGCGAATAATGAATGGACATGGTTTTTTCACTATCCAATCCGAATTCGTCCAATAATACACATGCATATGTATTTCATTTAGAAAAGGGTCATTGTTTTTGTCAACATATATATTTGAGATTTATGATACATATATAATGTTTTTTCACTATTTCTGGTTCACTATTTGACGGTTTAAAGTCCAAAACAAATTGTTCCGTCCTTTTTGGTTCACTATTTTTCAACGATCCGATCTATTTTCCGAGCACGGTTTTCATTGTATCTACTCTTTCACTTTTTGAAGGCAAAACGGTGCAGTTTCTCCCCAAAACATCCTAACTGGTTTTTTTAGTTTTCTCCGTCTTCGTTCGACAAGCGCCCATCGCATCCCTGTTTGTGCAAAGCTGACATGGAGGAGGAGAACGAGAGGAACGGCGCGGAAGAATCTATGCAGCTGGAGGACGACGACGGCCCACCGCCAGGGTGGCAATCGATCCCTCCTCCGCCAGATCCATCGGAGGAGAAACCTACTTCACCTCCCCCACTCCCTCCACCGCCGTCTCCGCCGCCGCCAACCACCGCGCCGACGGCACCTATACTCCAGCCACCACATTCAGGTGAGGCGCCGTCTCCTAACATACTCGAATCAGGTCCAATCTCTCGTTCTACAAGTTCTACATACTCTAGGAACTTAGGCGGTTTGTGGTCTGTTAAAAATTGTTTTTGGGGACTGTGGGAGATGCAGAGATTGCTCAGATGGTCTGTGGTTCGTGCCAACGCCTTCTAGCCTATCAAAAAGGGGCCAAGCACGTGAAATGCGGCTGTTGCGACTCTCTCAATTTTGTGCTGGAAGGTTAGCTAGCGAGTCTTCTTCTTCTTCTTCTTCTTCTTCCCCTAGTCAATCCTCCTGTGTTGAACTTTCAATTTCACATAGGTTGAATTTGAATAAGGTCACCACATACTGCCCTAAGCGAGAACATTAGCTACTCCTCTTACTAAACAGTTCGGTAGAGTATGGAGCGGAGTTCTAAGTGTAGAATAGTAAAGATGAGATGACTTAACTGTTGGGACTGTGGTTGTTTTTTGTGTTGTTGCTTGTAGCTCACGAAGTTGGGCTTGTTAATTGTGGATACTGCCCTGTGCTGCTTATGTACCAGTATGGATCTTCGGCGGTTCGCTGCTCCTCCTGCCAGAACGTAACAGCAATCGGAGTATGTCAGACGACTCTTTATCTCACTCATTTTATGCTTTGATGCATTTCAATCAGTGATGACTGCTATAACTTGTGATACATTACATAAGGCTGCATCTGCTTCATTGGAGACATGTCACCATAGTGTTTAAGATCTTACTGATAGCAACAACAACAACAAAAACTGTTCATTTTCCTTCTACTGCATCTTTTCGTGGTAAAGTAAAGGTCGACATAAACGTTGGGTGGATGTTTCTCTAGAAAGATTTAGCTTCTCAAACAAGTCTGGATTTGGACTATAGATAGCAACCTGCACGCCTAAAGTACAATGTGGCTGACACTGATAGACATAATTAGCAGATGCACACAAGACATGAAGACGAGGATGGTTGTTAAGTTTTGCTTTGTTTGGATGTTAATCGAGATGTTTTCTTCTATGAACTTGACAAAGTGACTCTTGTTTCTCTAACCTGATTCATTATATACACACAAGGTTTGACCGTGATTCGTGTATATTATGTGCAGGAACACAACCAACGCCCGCCATGGTCTGTAATACAAGGATACCCTCCTGCCTCGCCTTCCCCTAATCCTGTTCGCTGACAAAGCCTCAAGGTCTCTGCAACATCCTGAAAACTGTCTTGGTCAGGACTCAGAAGGAAGGGTGAAAGACTCTCCTAGTGGTTTTGTGTAGGCTGCTTCTATGACCAAATTCAGAGATGTTATGAATGCTTATTGGGATTTCTCCCAGATGTTCAGCTTAGAGATCTACATCCTTATCTTGTTCTTTTGCCTCTAGTGATGAGCTGGCGCTATATATCTATACCTGAAGGTTCAGTCTCTCTGGAAATTAAACTTCCTGGTGTTGGCTAGAGTTGAGTATTGTGGGCGCGTCAAATCGATATCTCCCAGGAACAAGATAAGAGATGCTTATGCTGGCTGTCTAAAACTATAGGTTAGTTCATTGGATTCTGCTAAAAATATATTATCTTGAACAGCAAGAGTTATTATCAGAGTTCTCCTGAAAGCAAACAAGAAGTAGAAGGGAGCAAGTAGTCGCCCATAGTTTTTATTATTCTTGATGTAAAATGTTTTTGGCGAATTGTCAAAAGTGACAGCTGCCTGTAACTCTATCGTCTAACTTAGATTATTGCGCTGAAATTAACTTATTCCAAGATTATGCTCTTTTTTCTTGTCAGCCAAGTTGCGGATTGTTTGTTTCTCTTTGGGGTCGTTTGGAAGTTGCGATTGTTTTGTTGAGATTGTCATTATGCATGTATTGTTTACAATACATCGTTTTTTTGTTTTTTTAGCAGAAACAATACATGGATTGTTTCTGTGATGTGACAGAAACTATCACTCATTTTGAGTGATTGTTATATCTCAACTTTTAGTTGTGATTGTTGAGATAGTTGAGTTGAGATTGTTTTGTCTCAGCTTTTAGCTAATGCGACATACACAATCACAAATACCAAACGTTGTATTCTACAATGCATCAAATTCGACAATACATGTATAATATTATACATGCATTCTCAACAATACATCTATTTAACAATCGCAACTTCCAAACGACCCCTTTATTAACATGCAGTGTGATCATTCATTCATTCATTAGCTAGCACCGCCGAGCCTATATAATATCGACACAAGGACTTACTGACAGCTTAGAATAGACAATCGATTCATCCTTGTCTAAGATCCCATTTAGTCTACGTGGAGAGCACTAGATGAAAGGATAAGATATGTTCACAAAAAGAACAGAAAGGACTAATCATTTGGTTTAAGGTATGATTAAAGGGACAAGATTTGGTTTAAGGTTTAATCATATGCTAAGCAGTGGGAAACATGTTTACTTACTTGAGAGAGAGACACAGAGATTGTCGCGGTTCAATCATCTAGTGGGAAGTCCCCATCGGAGGCGTCGTCCAGGAAAAGCGTTTTTCTTATGCTGTTGAAAGCTACGTCTTCCTGTTTCCAAAGGCAGGCAGAAAAAAGTTGGAGCATTAGAATATGGCTAGCGATTGATACCCAATGTTGATTTTGAAGCGGCGGTGGGGTGGATCAGATTTGTTGGGTATACCATTTTCTTGAGAGATTCCTGCAGTTTAGCAATCATCTCCTCGCCAGCTTTCCAGTGTTCGGCTAGCATGCTCTTCTCTTTCTTCTCTGATGTAATGCATGATAAAACAACGGAATCAGAATTGCTGATTTACTGGGAAGTAACCTTTCACAGAACTGTAGAAAAGAGTGCTTACTCAGCTGTTCATATCGCGTGACCAGCTTCTCCTGGTCTTCTTCAAATCTGGACAAGGTATCTGCCAACCCAGTGAAGAAGCAAAAGGTTACTAGAAAACAGCGACAGGCCATGGAAAGGGAACTGGGAAGAAAATGGCAGCGGGAAGAATACCTTGCAGTGACTGCATGCGAGCTGCTTTCTCCTTGGCAAACTTCGCAAGGGTGTCCTGAATCTTGGCAGACTCGCTCTTGCCGTAATTTTCGCACTGAAGATTTCCATTTCACAAACCATATGAATACCAGAACCCATCTGATAATCTCCATTGACCATTAACCAAACGCACCTCTTTGGAACTCTTCTGAATCGCCTTAACAAAGCTTTGCCTGGAATAAGAACTCAAAACATTAGCAAAGCTTCACACGACCCTCGACCACGGTCCAATCGACAGTGAAAAGGGAAAGTGGGATGTGACTAACCTATTCTTCTCAATTGACGTCAAATCATTGAGCTTCGTCCTAGTCTCAAAAGAAACAACGAATAAAACATGATCAGAAGTCATTGAAGAACTTAAAAATCTCATAGATGCGTTTCAATAGACTGATAACCTTTGGAGGGAAAGCATAACTTAAAATTTTCATCAAACAAATCAAAGCCAAAGCAACGAGTCAGAGTTTCCCCAATTGTTGAAGAAATTCAAATCAAAATCTCAAAATTACTAACCAGCGCGTCAGACTAAGAAAATCTCACGATTCTGCGTAACTCGCTTTTCCTTCGTCAACAGAGACGCACAAAACCAAACTGTACTCTACTAATCGATTGAAGGTATGAAGTAGCTACAAACTCACAATCGGAGCCAGAATTTTGTAACTGATTCCAAAAAAAAAACGTTGATTGGAACTCTCAAGATCCAAAATCACCATTCAGAACTGAAATCTAGAGATGATGGAGAAGCTACTGAAAATCCAAACTACCGCGTGTGTGAGATCCAAAAGGCTTTTGAAGGCCAGTCGTACTTGCAGTTCACAGAGTAACAATGCTCAAACAGAATCATAATCTATCTAAATTCCTCATCGACTCGACATCAATCAAAAGAGAAACAAACGAATCCTAGAGATCTGAATTACCTGGGAATCGTCTCCTCCTTCTCTGTTTTCTCTCCGAACTGGTGCAGCGCCGACATGATTCCCTTGAGATCGCTGCAATTGTCATCGCACTGGTTACGGAAACCATCGCGAAACCTAAAGCAGTAAGGAGCACAGGAAAAACTGTAATTAGACAGAGAGAACCTTGAGAGACCGGGACCGATTTCTTCCTTGACACGCACCTTAGGCGGCGACTTAGCGGTTGCTGTAGCGGCGGCGCGCTTCTTCGAGCTACCCTTCCTGGCTGACATTGCGTTGATCGGAGAGGAAAATCGGGGAGAGAAAAGAGGGAGAAACTCGGTTAGCTGATGATCAAATGTCAGCTTTGGGTGTGAGCTTGAACAGTTTGACTGGTGGGAAGCGCGCGCTCTTGTGATGTTTTCTTTAGAATTTTTCAAAATTTTGATCGAGCTCCGTTGCCCGGGCATGTGGGAAGTATACGGTGCGGTGGTGTCCAGGATACGGTGCTTCTTGTTCGGCCTTTTCAATTTTCCACGTTGCACTTCCAGAAAGGTAGACGGTTTTCGGATTTTGAATTGGAACACAAATAATTTTGAATGAATTAAAAGGTTTATTTTATGATGAATAACTTATTTTTCAACCATAAATTCATAATCGATTTTATCGTAGGTCACCAAATTTGTATGTTTACTTCACTATTGCTACTTGAAAGTCGTTAGATTTATATGTGTGAGTTTTAATTGTCACGGGTTTTTTATTCGTTGAATTCGCCATATTCGTAATTAATTAACAGCACGTATTATATAAAACATGAAGATAAATTCAACGAAAAAAATAAAACATGAAGATAATAAAATGCAAGATCAGGCCAATGAGATCATCAATTGTAAACTGTTTCCTATCCACTATAAATCCCCAGTACCCACCAAAGTGTCCTAATTCTAGGTGGGTAAATTTTGCTTTCTATTAATTGTCGATTTCAACAATTAATTAATTCCCCCAACGTGATTTTTGCTGTGTCTTTAAATGTTGATTATTATATGTGACTCGTGAAATTTAACAAGCTGGTCGGCTTATAATTGTTAATTTATATGTAAACCTTCCCATGTTTCCTTTTTCTATTATGATTAGGTACATAATTGCAATTAATCGGGCTCTCGGTATTAATTGTGCATAGCCAAACCGGCGTCGGATGACAAGATAATGCAGTCGAAGTGTAGACCCCACGAAAGCAGCTTCATTAAGTCTTTGATTTGTTCATTACCCCAAAAAAATGGAACAAGCTAGACTCAAAACGATAGCAAGAAAAGGGTATTTAATTATTTATATACCGATCTTCTTCTAGAATGAGATTATTTGGAAGCAAGATATTAAGCAAATGTATACCCTAATATGTATTATTGATCAATTGGATGACGGGATTACAAAAGTATATGTTCTATTTTGATGAAATTAAAGTACCCAATCAATTGAATCATTGTTTAATGCGATATTGGATTCTCATCAGCTCAATTCTAGTGATACTTCCATATCTGATGTAAAAATAAGTTTAAAATTCAAGTAAGAAAAACATAATTGATTAAATAAATTATGTTGTTTGTTACTAAAAAACAGTAAACAAAATCTATATAATAAGTTGGGCCAATTTGGAATTTTTCTGCCCTCTTTAACGGTTAACTAACAGAATTTTAGTCGAAAGAGTACTTTTGTTACATTTGAATAACGTTTACGCAAAATCAAGATGAGTATGTTTGTTAAATAACAATAATAGAAGGGTATAAAATGCTATTAACCCAAAAAATTAAAGAATTTAGATATCGTCTCCTCAAAAAATGAATTGTCACATGGTAATTCAACAATTTAAGAATCTGTGGATTTGTCTTTTCCCTTGATAAGCCATAGTACTCATCGAACTCATTCATGGATTTAGACTAGGAAATACGATGGGCAAGTTGGGGCGAGTATCTCGATTCCTAACTCACTTCGTACCAGGTCAGGTAATCCATCACGAAACACGGGCAGAGGCAACTTGACTCATGTATGAAATAGAAAGACATTATAAATATTGATTTTCTATAAAAAATAATTAAGTAACAAACTATAACATTATAAATGTAGTTAAATTATTCAAAAAATTGAGGTTTATCGGTTTACAACTCTATTGTATTTAAAATATGAGATAATAATAGTAAAAATCTAAGTAATTTGAATAAAATAACATGTAATTTATACAAAAATGAGTCGAAAATGAGACCGGTCAGATCAAAGATAGTATCTATACCCGTTCCATCTTGTCTACATAACACCATCTCAAAATAGATCTAACAGGTCGGATAAAAACAGTTCCACTCAAAATTGTCAAAACGAAGTATTGTTTACAAACTTCTCGATTCAATGTTGACTTGCAAATTTCTGGTCACAAAAGGTTGGCCGTGTCTATATTTAATTTGTCTTCTCTTAAGTAATATAGAATGTAGGGTTATCCCTCATCTACTTTGTCTTCAGTGATTTAAGGTATTACTTTGTAGGGAATTAATTATTGTTTATGAAAGTAACCCATATGCAATAATAAAAATATGTCCTTCTCTAAGGAACACGGGATGCACGACTCCTAGCCCTAGAGTTAGGCAGGCCTAAACGTTTTTATCTATGTACCTAATCTAACTTTTTTGACGCAAATAAATACCTAATCTAATTATTTACGTTATTGGATAACTTTATTGATTGTGATATATGTGTGCATGGCAGGTGACAAATGGATTGAATTTATTATTGGTGGATCAAATAGATTGGTGGATTGATTAATGAATCCAAATAACACCCAAGTCTTGGACTATTATATAAATTTTGAAAATTTTAGGTACAAAATGTCATAATAAAAAATATAGGTACCAATATGAAAATTTTCAATTATATTTTTTTCTTAAAAAAATTATGTTTTAAAATGTAAAATATAAAAAGTATAGGTATTACTGTAAATTGTCAACCATCTATGAATCCACCAACCCAATTGAAATTGGATCATATGAATTAGATTTAAATGGATTGAGTTAGTTTAATATCTTTCACTCTCATTGTTCTACAATAGCAGTGAGATGCACTATTTAAAAGTAACGACGACGCGTTCATTAGAAAACTTTCATGGCATTAGTTGGGGGAAGGGGGTTGTAGTTGCATTTGCATGGTCTATATTGTTATGAATATGGATCATAGAAAGCGAAATTTTAAAATTAAAATTTTTTCACGAAAACTTTATCTTATATAATTAATTATGCATTTTTAGTTAAATTACAATTACATATCAGTCATTCATCAGCTACGTAAATGCATAAATAAAGTGGTGGTGATATTGGGGCTGAATAAAGAGTTGGTTATTGTAACTTTTTACATGAATACTCATATGAAATAATAGTATCATATAAAGAATCAGTTCATCCAAAACTTCATGTATTAGAAAAAGGTTATATTGTACGACTATATACCAAATAATACCAACTCCCTTACAAAGAAAAGAATAACTCTTTTCTATGTTTATACTATTAATTATATCAACGATACTTTCTTGTTAACAAGCGGCATGCTTAGCCACCTAGGTTTCATATTTTCTTCGAGATTTATTATTATTAATTAATTGATGGACACAATTAATTAGCGTAAGTGCGCGACGAGCTGATCATATGAGTTGACGCGAAGAGAGTGGGCATCACGCGCATATCGCGGTCAGTGGATACTGCCACGTCATCCCCCGTCCCGTCGGTGAATCCACAGTTTGCCTCCTCCTCCGCCCTCCGCCGAAACGGAGGAGCAGGTCACAGTAAAAAAAAAATAATAATAATAATAAAGGAGATATTTATTTTCTTCTTTCTATCTATAAAACCCCACAAACGGAGCCTTCATCGCATTACCATCGGTTTCTCTTATTCCCTCCCCGCCCGCCTCTCCGCTCTCAAAGAAAACCTCCCTCCGCCGCCCGCCGGCCGGCTTGTTTGACCTTCTGCAGCCACCGCATCTGCAATCGTCTCCGGTTAGCTCCCCGGTTCCTCTCCCTGCCTTATTGTTTCAGGTACCGGCTGGCTCCCTCTCTCTCCTCTTTTTCATCTCAGATGATTGTTCTTCTGTTCTGTTTCTGTACTGTTCTGTTTGTGATTGTGGCGCGAATCGTACATGGCGATCTGGAGGCCGTGGATCTCCCGGTGCTCCTCTTTTTGCCGTATTTCTGAACTGCGCATAGCGGTTTCCCTCCCAGCTCTCTCGTTTTCGTCCATCCGTTGAGGGAATTAGCTTCGGTTCTTCGTCCTTTGAGTTGTGAATTGCAGAGGATAGAAGCGAAGTCTCTCGTGTGATTCTGTTGAGTATATTCCGTCTGTCAACGATCTTGTTCAATCGGATTTCCAGCTGATATGAGATTGTTCCCTAGGTTCATCCGCATTCTGTTTTGGGGGGAAATTGATATTGTGTATGTTAATTGGATTAGGGTGGCTTGACTGTTGTCTTGTGAGGGTGATGGATTTTCAGAGGAAAAAAGCACTGTTTCCCATATGGTTTTGTCCTCTCTTTTCCAGCCATGAGTGAAAGAGGTTCAAACACAGGATAGAGTTGGGCTTAGAATAGGAGGGCATGTTCTAGGTTCATTGGTAGCCCAGATCTCATTTTCCGTTGCTGATTAGATTCCTATTGGAGCTTAGAATAGTTTTGACCTATAGTTTCTATTGCTTGATGGGCATGGGCTGTCATCCTAGAACCTAATGCTCACACTGAACGATGAAAAATGGTTGCTTTCTTACATGGTGATGGGTTTCTTGTTTAGATATAATGTTGTTATAGAGAGCTACCGGCCAACCATTTAAAACCCCTCTAAAGAGGATGAGAAAATTAGGTGTAACTGACTTGTCCTTCAGGACTTAGTTCTACCTTCCCTTAGGTTTCATGAATTCAGATTCGCCAAATTACTCAATCGTTTGGGTAGAGGTCATCACTATGATTAACCATCTTCATTGGAGGGTTGAGATCTACGTCATCTTACTGTTTGTGACCATCGATTTGTGCCTTTTGGTTTGGAATCCCAAGTTCCCTGCCTCCATTACCTGCTCTCGCCATTCCTGTGTGCTTCTGTGGGTCCTTGCATTCGATTTGCTCTGAATTCCTTCACCCTGAATTTCTCTGGCTTTCCTGTGAGGTTTCATCCTACTGTTCTGAAGTCTGTTTATCCTTGGTTCTTTTCCAGAGAGTCAATATAGTTGCTGGTTCTGAAGAACGGATCCCTCCAAGTGGCCAATCAATGGCATTCCAGCAATTCTACTCGCAGGAATGGAAATCTGTTGCAAGTGCAGCAGCAGCAGCAACAACAACAAGCTCGGAAGAACCCAGTTTAAACGACGGCTTCGACTGCAACATCTGCTTTGAATTTGCAAAAGAGCCAGTTGTCACCCTCTGCGGCCATTTATACTGCTGGCCGTGCATCTACAAGTGGCTCCACGTCCAGAGTGCCTCCCTTTCTTCCGACGAGCACCCACAGTGCCCCGTCTGCAAGGCCGATATATCCCACACCACAATGGTCCCTCTCTATGGCAGAGGACAGTCCACAGAAGAAGAAACCGAAGCAAAGACTCCCGGCAGCAGTGCCATTTCCATTCCCCCTCGCCCACCAGCCTGTGGTACCCAAGCTCTCGCCACAAGCAGCACTCAAACAGGTCAGCAGCTTCCTTACCGAAACCCTTACCGGGGTAATAACCACCACGACATTCCACCCATGGCATATGCTAGCTTCGACGAAACTGCTACATCCCCATCGCTGCCTGATACCGGTTTCCACCACCACCACCCGGGATATGGGGTGCTCGGGGAGGTTGTATTCGCCAGGGTGTTTGGGAACTCCGATAGTTTACATGCTTACCCGAACTCCTATCAGCTTAATCCGAGCGGTAGCTCGAGGTTGAGAAGGCAGGATATACAGGCGGACAAGTCGCTGAGTAGGATCTCCTTCTTCTTGTTTTGCTGCGCTCTGCTGTGCCTCATTGTGTTCTGACCCAGACAGTGGACGTCTGGACGAGTTCTTATGGAAAGAAGCGTTTCATTTTGTATAATTTGTAAAGAAGAATCCTGAAACGGCTTGTGAAACTTGTGATGAGAAACGCTCGTATAGACTTAATGCCAGTCAATTATACAAAGAGAGAGAGAGAGAGAGAGAGAGATTTAGCTTATGATGATGACATCGCTGTCACCATTTTTGTCTCAAGTTAGCCTGCCGTTGTGAATTGGACTCTTATCATGTTGGCCACCGACGGGGTTTAGGTTTATCCAATAATGTAATTGGAAGTAATGTGTATATATTAAAACGTGTATGTGCAACATATAATCTATAACTTAGTTCAGCAATTGTGTGGTGTATCTGTGCTAAATCAAACCTGATTTGGTATTTGATATGATGCTAGTAAAATGAGACTAATGGGTAGTTGATTATGATTAGACCAGTCATTATGAGAACAGAGTAATTAGAGGTGGTGAGATGGTCAATAATCCATATGATAAGGTATCTTTTTTGGCAATATCTATGATTTTTATGGTCCACAAAATATTCTCATAATGCAATTGTTTCCACGTATAGATTCGTGATCATTGCCCGCACTTTGTTAACAATAAGGGTGATATGTGACCTTATCCTACGGATCAAAGCTTAGCCCAAGATGTCACTATGTTTGCTTGCTGCATGCATTGTCATCATCCATAAAGGCTCGACCAAGAATAAAAAAGGATCCTCAGTATTATCATGGATTAGGGATTGTTTGCTTGATGGATTTGGATCAATCATGGATTTTGTCCAAACTCCATTGTTTTCTTCATTCTATATAGAAGGCAACAAATATGTGGAACTCAAGCCCACATCTGTGTGCCTCACGAATTTGAAAATCCTAACCTTTTAGGTGAGAATTGATGACGAACTTTCAAGTCCATCATTTGTGATCAATCTATCCCTCCTGTTTCCTTTCTCTTCTCATACCAATGAGAGCAATAAAAGTCCATTTCACTTTATACATACAAATCTAATTAACAAAATTCATCATGAAATATATGAAACAAACATTAGTATTTTTCAAGTCCATAATTAACCTAAAATCCTCACATATTCATGGTTTTCAAGACCCAATTGTTACCAAAACCTTCATTTTTCAAATCTACGAAACAAACCAAAGCAAAATCTAGACCTTCACATGTGTATTTTCCTCCCTTCAGGCTATCTCACGAGATGGTTGAATGCTATCGTCTGAAACGTGTTTTAGGGTTCGGTTCGATTCAAAAAGACTATTCATCGGTTTCAATGGTAAGTTCCTCCTTGCCAAAAGTTGACTCCGCCTTACAACATTACAAAACAATTATTGATTCTCTTTAGGCAAGTATACTTAAAGCCCTTTTTCGATGGTGACATATATAGTCACCATTGGATTCCTTCACCCCATAAAATACACAAAGTGAGTAGGGCACTCCAAGAAACAAGCATCTTAATGACAATCAAGTAGAGGGAGTCCATAAAATATAGAGAGCATTTAGAGTAGTCCTTAAAACAAGTATCTATTTTGGCAACATCTACGATCTTTTTGAAGCCTTTAAACAATGGTTGCACAATGGAATTTGGTCCACATTTAGATTCGTGATCATCTTCAAAGCCTAACCACAAGCATGGAACCCTATTGGTAGTTGGCAGGATTGCCCTCGATTCGTATTGTTGTGCAATGGTCTATGTTTCTTCGACCCTTAATAAAGACGTTCACGGACGACTATAATATAATGAAATGTTATTATTACTACTACTCGTTTTGTTCTTTAATGTTTTTAATACAACATGCATAATTATTGAATGGACATGGACAAGGAGGTGAATTTGTTGGTGTCAACCAAACTGGATTGTACCCTATTGGTTATTGAGCTGATGGCAATTTATAAGATATTTGTACTCAAATTAATCTATTGGAGCTGATGGTAATTTACCATTTGGTTCGGGCTTGTATAAGGTAGAATAAACTATAAACTATAAATCTCAAACCAATATTTTCGGCCCAATCCGGGAAGATTATCACTTGTCAGTCCACAAATGCCCCCTTCTGAGAGCCCAATCTGTTTTCACTTTAAGCCCAACAAGGCCCACCTTCTAGTCCGATCTCTCTCCTTAAACCCTACCCCAAAAACAAAAAGCTTTTCCCAGGCTGTTCTTCTTCTGCTACTTCACTTCTTCCACACTCTCAAGAACCCTAAAAAGCAATCATGAACTCCAAGCTAGTCCTCCAATCCCTGACGCGAAATCACAGTGCTATCATCTCCAGATCCTATCACCTCGCCAAGAACAACAGCAGGCCCACTCTCTATTCGAAGATCAGCCCCCTCGGCAATTCATCCGTCTCGGCCGAGCTCGACAATTGGGTCAAGACCGGCCAGAAAGTCCGGTTTCCGGAGCTTCAGCGGATTGTTTTCGATCTCCGCAAGAGAAGGCGATTCACTCAAGCCCTAGAGGTTGGTTCTTCTATCCCCTTCCCACTTTCCTGCCGCTGTTCTCTTGTTTTGATCTAGCAGTCTCTGTTTGGTTGCCGAGAAAGGGCGAGAAAATCTTTACATGCTTGGATATCATAGCGGTCTCATCTATCTTTATATCCCATAAGCGAGCTCTGGTCTGTTGTATTAATGTTTACCCAATAAAATTTGGGAAATGGGGAAGTGAGAAATTTTGCAAGATTGGATCTTTTGGTGATCAGTAGAGGGATATCGAATTCAATCGTCGAATTTTGTTAATGTTCCAATCTTTCTATTGCATCAGCCAGTTTCGTTCTAGTGTTAATGTTGAAGCACTTTGTTCCAATTTGTCAGGTTTTAGAATGGATGAGCAGATTGAGTACTGTTGTTATCTCACCCGCTGAGCATGCTATTAGGCTCGATCTAATCGGGAAGGTTCATGGGTTTGAAGCTGCCGAGGTTTACTTCAACAACCTTAAAGACATCGACAAGACCGACAAGACACATGGGGCTCTCCTCAACTGTTATGCTCGCCAGAAGCAAGTGGATAAGGCCATCTCCCATATGCGGAAGATGAAGGAGCTTGGTTTAGCCACGTCTTCCTTGACTTACAACGGCATCATGTGCTTGTACACGAATATCGGCCAGCATGAGAAGGTACTGCAAACTAATGTGGAATGGATCAGTTTTACTGTTGCAGACTTGCAGTGATCAAGTTGTGACCTTTTTTCTCTTAACGAATAATTTGAACTTTTCTCCCTGATGGAATTGAAGTCTCCTAATTTTTAACAGGTACCTTCGGTGTTGGCCGAGATGAAGTCCAACAACATTTCTCCAGACAACTACAGCTACAGAATTTGCATCAGTTCTTATGGCGTTAGATCCGAAATTGACGAAATGGAGAAAGTTCTGAACGAGATGGAGCAGCAAGAGAACATCTTGGTGGACTGGAACACTTACACAGTTGTTGCCAACTTCTACATTAAGTCTGGCCTTCGAGATAAGGCGATCGATGCTCTGAAGAAAGCAGAGGAGGTTCTTCAATGGAAAGATGGAACCGGATTTAACCACCTCATATCGCTCAATGCAGCTCTTGGGAACACAGCTGAGATAATACGATTATGGAATGCGGAGAAAACCCTTTGTAAAAGGTGCATAAACAGAGATTACATCACTGTGCTGGAAGCCCTGGTGAAAGTCAAGGAGATTGATGAAGCTGTGAAGATCTTGGAAGAATGGAAATCTTGTCGGAACAATTACGATTTCAAGGTTCCAAATGTTATCGTTATTGGATGTGTAGAGCAAGGCATGATGGAGAAGGCCGAGGCTGTGCTTCGACAGTTGATGGAGAAAGGAAAGGCTGTTACTCCGAATAGTTGGGCCACAGTGGCAAAAGGGTACCTGGATAAAGATGAGCCGGCAAAGGCTTTCGAATGCATGAAGGCTGCTGTTTCACAGTACGAGGAGAATAAAGGGTGGAAGCCTAATCCGAGCGTGATTACTGGGGTTTTGAGTTGGCTCGGCGATGAAGGAAGTGCTGAAGACGCGAGAGCTTTTGTCGATGGGTTGATGAAAGTTGTGCCAGTGAGCAGAGAGATGTATCACGCCTTGCTGAAGGCATACAAAAGGAGCGGGAAAGAAGTGGAGTCTCTCTTGAGTGCCATGGAAGCAGATGGTATTGCCCAGAATGGGAAAACACAGAGAATCCTTGGGAGGAAAGCGGATTGAGTTGTTAAGAGAGATCCTTATAATTATCGAAATTCGAAAAATCTGTTTTGAGTGACGGATTTTCAGAATGCTGTCATTGCGAAAAGAGAGACTGGTAGAGCGAAAACTTTGTTGTTTTGGTAGGTAGATTTTCAAACTCTATGAAATTGGTGTTTTCTAAGAAGTACCAAGATGCCTTTCTTCATATTGGTGAATCAGATGGTCGATTTTTATTCTTCGCCCTCACAAAGGATCTCTTCTTCCTCGATCTTCTTCACGAGTACCGTAGAAAGGGAGTTATAGAAGTGGATTCACTAGTACTGTAGAAGAGGGAGTTATAAAAGTGGATCCCTCGGACGAAGAAACGAAAATGCAGCTAGAGGAATGACCTCATTGACAAAGATGAGAGAGGCTGATTAGCAAAGATTTGACAATAACAAAACTGAAAGTCATGTCGCCAATCAAAAGTACGAAACTTGTAATGTACGGTAATCATGCTGAAGCAAACAGCAGCGATTCCAAAAAAGATCAGTCTAACCAACTAGGAAAACCACGCATACTGGTTCATCAAAGGACAAAAACCATGGGACTACATCAGGCAGAGATCCGGGGTCCTATATGCAATTGTTTAATCAAACTCAAAACTTCCACAAGGAACCCAAGAGATTGAAGACACGTATAAACTCGATCTCTATTCGGACAAGGTAGATTTCAGCGCTCCGTCGGTCCGAAGTTCAAGGACAATGTCACAGCCTCCAACTAGTTCCCCCTTGTAATAAAGCTGAGGAAAAGTTGGCCAATTCGAGAACGCCTTCAGACCCTGCCTCACTTCTTCATCACTCAAGATATCAAAGGACCCGAAAGTTACACCTTCCTCTTTCAAAGCATTCACAACCTTGGAGCTGAAACCACATTTTGGAGCATCAGGGTTGCCCTTCATGAACAACATCACAGGTGAAGAAGAAACTAGACGCTTCAAACGATCTTCAAGTGTTTCTTTCTGAATTATTACACCTTTCTCAGACAATACTTTCCTAAGCTCCCCGCTTTTTTGCATCTCAAGCACTATGTCTGATCCCCCGATAAGCTCTCCTTTGATGTACAGTTGAGGGTAGCTTGACCAGTTTGAATACACTTTAAGCCCTTGACGGACCTCCGCATCAGTCAGTATGTCGAAACTGCCAAAGTCAACCTTCTCTTCTTTAAGGATTTCCACCACCTTGCGACTGAAACCACATTTGGGTTCTTCGGGTTTTCCCTTCATGAACAGCATGACTGGACTCGAGTTAATCAAGCTCTCAAGTCGGGAGTCGAGGGTGGCACTCAGACCAGTAGACTCTGTGATTCCTCCACCCTTGACTGCTGTCTCGGTACCGGTACCAGTACTGATTCCATGATCTCTGAAGACTTCTTTCAGTTCTCCACTCTCGTGCATGGCAATTGCTATATCACACCCTCCTAGAAGTTCACCTTGGCAATAGAGCTGCGGGAAAGTAGGCCAATTGGAGAATTGCTTCAATCCCTCACGGACCTCGTTGTCCGATAAAATATCAAAAGTACCAAACTTCACATTCTCTTCTTTCAGTATGTTAACAACTTTCTTGCTGAACCCGCACTGTGGAGCCTCAGGGTTTCCCTTCATGAACAGCATGACCGGATGGGAATTAATCAGATCTTGGAGCCCTGTAACTGGTTGCTTTTTCTGAGTGATTGATTGAGTTGATCCAAGTCCTTTAGCTAGCTCTTGAACCGTTTCAAGCACAGTGGGGCCAGCAGCCATTCCAAGGCTTGCCGGAGCAGCAGGGTACGAGGGATTAACTGAGCCAGCGATTTTGGCAACTTTGTTAGCCAAACTGGAAGGATCTGCACCTTCCAACTTGTCGAGAGTCTTACCATCCTGATGAAAAATTTAAGCTGACAATTATCAGAACATAGCACTGAATCTTTGCAAAGTATATATAAGTAACTAATCAGAGATTGAAATGTGCATACAAAATCATGAACTAATGATTCATAAGATCACTCCTGCCTATTTAAGAAGTGAAGTGAGTGTTCAGATAACATAACTCCCAACTTTGAAGCAACTCTTAACTTTCAAACAGTTCAACAGAGTCGCAAGCTATCACTAAGTTCTCCCATATCCCTTCTCTTCTATTCCACCCATACTGATGCCATTGCTCCAGTACTTATTCCGCCATCTACTGCCTAATGATTGAATTGGCCATCGCCCTTAACTAGCAATTTTCACGACGCTAGAGCTCTGCAAGCTAAGGCTAAGCACAACATAATCGAACTCACCTTCAAGAACACGAAATACGGCACAGCCGAAACGGAGTAAGCCTCAGATATCTCGGGTTGCTCCTCGGCCTCCACCTGCAAAACATAAGAGAAATCCCACCAAGTCAATTCAATTCGACAAAAAAAAAAAAAAAAACTTGCGAACTCCATTGCTGGGTCTTCCTCCCTTTGGATTGAAGGATCAAATAGGGAGTCAAGGAAGGAAAAGAAGTCGAACCCTAAGAAAACGGACACTTGGGAAATCCGTGGAGAGATGGGAAAAGACTTGGTCCATGTGCTTGGAAGCATCGCACCAAGCCGCCCAGAAGTGCAGGATCGCCGGCGCTCCCGTCTTCAGCAATCCGTCGAGCTCCGCCTTCGTCTGCAAGTCCTTCACCGCCCCGCCCATTCTTCTTCACTCCTCTTCTCCCTTTCCGGTAAAGAATTATGATCGGAGGAAAAGGATTTTAGAAAAACCCTAACTTTATATAAGTTGCGCCATTATAAATCGAGATTCGAGAATCATGTGAGATGAGCAGTTACGTCAGAGAACAAAATCGACTCCAGTGGGCCTGGGCCCATGAAATTGTAGATCTATTGGGCCGCATCTTTTGTCTTCAAAATGGTCGTGAGGTTGAGCGCAAATAGAAAGAGCTCTCTGGAGTCTGGAAAATTTCACTCTCACCCTCTCGCTGTTTTGCCGGAGCAACTGTCTTTGTCTCTCCTCCATCGCCGTTTTCCCAATCGTTGAATCGAAAGCTTGAAACTTCAGAGCTCAGGCAATCAAATCCCTCGCAGGAAGTTGGAGGATTTTGCCTTGGGAAGTAAACAAAATGCCTCAGGTGAGGATTATTGCGAAGAACTTCATGGACATGGTGGCGGCTTTGCCCGCCATGAAACTCGACATTCTCTACGAGAATCCATTCATCTGCGAAGCGATTCTCAGGTTACCCACTTTCTGAACTTCGCCGATCACTTACACTTGAGTTCTTAATTGATCAGGGGGGGGGGAAAGGATCAGAATGAGTAGTAAAGAGCAGTTCACAATTTTGATCTTCTGATTGATTAGGTCGCTGCCGCCATTGGCGAAGAAGTACGTCACTCAAATGCTGTTCTCGGAAGGCTCAATTACTGCTAAATTGTTGGAGGAATGGGTGCTTCCTGATGGTTCGACCAAGCACAGGGTCTCCATTGATAGACTAGTCCAGCTTAGAATTTTTACTGAATCAGTGGAAAGGTTGGTGCTTTTAGCTATATATATGTGGTTTCTTGTTACCTACATGAATCCATGTAGAATTAGTTCTTAGAATTCACGGGGAATAGATCAATCATTGGAAAGTCAGCAGAGTTATTTCAGTTTAGACATTCTCTGGTTATACATTGAAAATAGGATATTAGGTTTTTTGGAGTCTTGTCTACTTAATTGCTTCTGAAGGAAGAGAAACTGGATATTTTCGTTAGTTAGTTTTTGGTACATTGGATTCTACATGTTAGTGTCTGGTGAAACTGTTGTGTTTTTAGTGGCAGGAAAAAGGAGAAATCTTACAGATTGAACCCCACATTTCAGGCTAACCTTCAGAAGCGTATAACTACGGGGTGAGCTATTACGTTTCCTCATCTGGATGATAATACTTCGTGATGAATTTCCGCTGACTTATTCCTGGTGTTCAGCTGCTCGTCTATTTATGTCATAGCACCCGAATGTCCTGTTGACTAAATTCTGATCTTGATGTAGATTTCATTGATGTTTAATTCAACTGATGTTAAAGTTTGTTATTACTGTTATAAATTCTTCGTGTCATATTGATTACTGTCTGGCAATATTGCCTGCTTCTTTGTCTGAGTACAATATGCCCCATTCTCTTATTGAAATTGAAGTTCAATGCTACAGAGGTGTTTTGCCAAGGGAACCGATGCCTCCAAGTCTTACTGGAAGACTTCCTAGTTTGGAGGAACTTGAGAAGTATGCCCTTGAGCAATGGGAGGTGTGTAATCCTTGCGTATGACTTTTCGTACCACTTTTGCACGATAGATACTGTACTTACTAGGACTTCATTGTGGTATTTCAGTGTTTCCTGCTTCACCTTATAAACTCAGGCCAAGCTGAAAAAGTAACTAGCTTTAGTCCTTCTATGATGCGTGTTTTCCAACGAGGTCTTCTAAGTCAGAGGTATTTCTCCCATCACAGTTTCACGTATACCTTCTTGGTTATATGAATATTTTGAAGTCCTGCATACTTTATACATATGGCATTTATGTCCTATCTGTGTCTTATTTTGCAGCAAAGATCCTAAATTGACTGAAAGTGGTTTCCAGTTTCTGGTACTCCTGCGTTGATTATGACTTTATTTTATTACATAGATCAATTAACGTGACACTGAAAGTCTTTCTCAATATCTAAATTTACAGCTGATGGAGACAAATGCACAACTCTGGTACATCATCAGGGAGTACATATCTAATTCAGAGGTATGCATAATCTAGCAATTATAAGCAGCTAGCAGTCTTGCGGTTGTTCATATCATGTGTGCCCATTTCTGGTATATGCATATGCCCTTTAGAATATTTTATTGGTTGGTTGGATTTTAGATGTATATTAAACTATTTCTTCTATGTTTTCATTTGTCTTGATGCAGGAGCGAGGTGTGGATCCAGTAGACCTGATTTCCTTCTTGTTAGAGCTCAGTTTTCATATGACTGGCAAGGTATTAAGTTTGTAATGTTGGCGCTTTCCGGTTTTTGTTTGTTTAACTTCTTTTTTTCTCAAGAGATGTAGTTTCTCATTTCCTTGTGAAAATGTTGACAATCTCTTTTGGACTTTAAAAAATTTGATATACTTCACCTCTAATCTCACTCTTTCGCTGTCTCAGGCCTATAATTTGAATACATTGACTGATGTTCAGAGGAGTACTCTCAGTGACCTTGCTGACTTGGGATTGGTGAAACTTCAAAAGGTTCTTTGAGCCTATTCTAATGCTCTTACTTGGAACGTAATATCTGTTTGCCATTTCAGTTATTAATCTATTTGGTTCATTCCAGGGGAGGAATGATAGTTGGTTTATACCTACTAAATTGGCGACCAATTTGTCTGTGAGCTTAGCTGATTCATCAACTCGGAAACAGGTCCGTGGTAGTTTACAGAATTCTCTTTTTTTCCGGATGTATCTCCCCATTGACCTTTCTTGAACTCACTATAAGGGTGGAATATGTTGACTGTTAATGATTCGGTTCGTCTTTGTTTGACTCATTGTCAATTTATACTTTCTTTCTCAGGGATCTATTGTAGTGGAAACAAATTTTAGGGTGTATGAATACTCGGCATCTAAGCTGCATTCTGAAATTCTGCGTCTTTTCTCAAGGTACGCTCTCTATCTTCTCTTCTCTTGGTTTATATGGGGCATCACACAGTTTTATAGTGAGTTCCTTGTGAACGTTTTGCCTCTTACTTGAACTAGGAGAACCTTTGTGACGCGAATAGTAATAATAATAAACTGACCACTCATGCATCCTAAATCAATGCCATGCTAATTTTACTTCCTGCAAAATCTTATGTGCTTGATATTGTAACAATAAGTTGCATTGACTTCAAAAAATATCCCCTATGTAGTCTGAATTTTGTGAAAAATGACTCCATGTAGCTTTTTTCAATAGTCAAGAATTTAGAGATGAATTCTAGTGAATGATGCAGATAACCTCCATGTAGCCCGAGACTGAAGAAATATTTCTTAATTTCCCTTGGTAATCTGAATTATTTGATTTGTGTGCAGGGTAGAGTATCATCTTCCTAACCTTATCGTGGCAGCAATCACAAAGGAAAATTTGTATGGTGCTTTTGAAAATGGAATCACAGCAGACCAGGTATATATTTTCATATCTTAAATACGTGTTCATCCTTTACAATTGGTTGCTCGTTCGCTGTTCTTGAGATTATTTGGCTGCTCATAATCTCCCAACTTTTGGCATGCAGATAGTGTCTTTTCTGCAGCAGAATGCTCATCCTCGTGTAGCACAGAGAACACCATCAGTTCCGGAAAATGTCACTGACCAGGTATGTGTTGAAACTTTAAAATGCTTCTTTTTCTGTCACTCAGGCCGACATGTTACTCTTAGGGTGTTTAACTGATCTTGTGAACACACACACGAAAAAATAAAGGTTAAGAGTCGCTAATTCTACACATTACTCCAACCCAAATCAGTGGGATAAAACCGGCAATCCCTAAGGTTTACCAGAAACCAAAGAACTTATAGAAAGTGATGACTGATATTAAACGGGTTTTCATGTTTCTTTTGGCTGGATTCTTGCTGAAATTTAATTCTTCCTTCCTGTTTTATTTTACTTATTCGGTGAATTTCAATTTTTCTGTATATTACAATTTCATGTTTTTGACCGGTAATATATAACCAGAACCCTGTTAAACACCCTATTAAACAGGTCCAGCTTTTGGTTAAAGCAGGTACTGGCTAGCCACCGTTAAATGTATGTTATAATGTTGGCCATTGACCTTCTCTATTGCAGTAAACCTGAGAGATTACATATGTAAACCTCCTTTCCACTGTTCTGGCGATCTTGATGTTATTTTGACGCTTTTGTCTCTCTTTGCAAATAGATAAGGCTGTGGGAAACAGATCTTAACAGGGTTGAGATGTCTCCAGCCCATTTGTACGACGATTTCCACTCCCGGGTAAAAAGCTTGAGACAATCTCATTGTGAATAGTTAGCTTTTGTTGAGCCCCATACTAATCACTAATCAGGGTATAATTTCTTTTGAACCCACGGCAGGAAGTGTTTGAGGCAGCTTGTGACTTGGCTCGAGAATGGAGCGGTTTGCTGTGGGAAGATTCAGACAAGATGAGAGTGGTTGTGAAAGCAGAAATCCACCAGAACATGCGTGACTTCATTCGCGGTCAGAGACAGTAGATGAGAGAACTCAACCATGCCGTCCAATCAGCTTCCATGATGCCAGCTCTGTCACCAGAACCTGAAGTTGCCGCGGATAATTCCAGTGTTGTGACTGCGGTCGGAACATGATTGGCCAAGGACTTGATGACTTGATGTACAGATGTTTTGTTCTCGCTGTATAATGAGTTTAAAGAAGTTCAGAATTATCAATTATGGCCTTCATTCCTCCTTTGCATGTATGCTAGCTTTGGAGACCTCAATCTCCATATTACTACAATACTACTGTTAAAGAAGAAAAGCAAGTGCTGTTAATAGAAGTACTATATAACAAATGCTCTACCCCTTTTGGGCAACAAAGTGGCTCCATAACTCCATTGAAGATGAACTGTGATAAGCAAGATCACTTTAAGTCAAAATTTAGTCTAAAATCATAGCTAATTTAAGAACAATGCATCAGTTTAAAACTTTAAATTGTATTATTATTTGTAGTCAAGACTCAAGAAAACCTATGCCATGGTGTAACGTAATAGGCCAACATATAACCCAACCATCACACTTTATAAAGACTAGTTTTGGTCCATATCATAGTGTATAATATAGTAAAGTCATGTAAAACTAGTTTTGATTGATTGTGTCTAGCTGGATTTGAATCATAGTGGCTACAGTTCGGAAAATGACCAAAAAAACAGTTACTTCTATCCCAAGCAAGTTCTCCTCTCAATTGGTTTTTGCCAAGGCTCAAACAAAGAATAAAAAAGTGGAAGAACTCAACTGTATTAAGTCGCAAATATCTCAGTGCTAAATACACATACCGTCTTTCCTTTCTGTTCCATATTTCCACTTGGATCCATGGTACACTCACTAGGGCAGGAAACCAGCAATCACAAACTCTAGTAGCAGTTTCTTTCACTACAAGTAAAAGATAACCCTCCCAGAAGAAGAATAGCTACAACCTAGAACAACCATAACCACACCCCACAATTTCCCTTGAAGCCCAAGAAACCAAATCAAATAAAATCTCGACCCAAAACTGATGCCCCCGCCAGGAACAAATGTTCAAAAGCTACAAAGAATGTAGTTTGCCTATGGAGAACTCAACTGGAACTTTACTCCGATTTCTTTACTTTCCTCTTCATTCGGCTGAAGGGTCCAACCGTGCGGTCCATGATGTACATATAGATGACCTGGCTCCACGATTTGTACGAATCCAAGCTCTCGTAATACTCTGGAGCAATCTCCTTCACCTTGTGAAGCTTTCTCCCGGGAATCCTGGGGAAATCATGGTGCTCGTTGTGGTACCCTACGTGCCAAGTCAGCAGATTGAGTGGGCCGTAGTATGAATACGTCTCTTGTTCAGGGTTGAACACGTAATGCTCAGAGATGAAATGACCCGCCATCGGGTGCATCCCTCCCCCCACGAACGTCGACATGATCAGGTAAGCGAAGGACTTCCACCCCCAGAAGTAAACCATGGCTGCATCGAGCGAAAGCTGGACGAAGAAGTTGAGGAACTCCCAGTAGCCAGGTGGTTTTGGTTTGAGGAAGAGTGGGCGGAAAGCATAGAAGAACAGCTGGAGGAGAACCCATATGGATTTGGTAATCACATTGCGAACAATGTGAGCCTCGGCCTGGCTTGGAATGTCCATGTCTATGCCGTCCACACCTTGGAACCTGTGGCACAGTTCGTGAAATACCATAAGCATAAGTTAGACATAAATTATATGTACGTTAGTACATGCCATTGTCACAGCAGAGACCTTCGACAATTGAACGAGAACAGCAGAGACCTTCAACAATTGTACGTTAGTGAAATACCATAAGCATAAGTTATACATAACATACCATATTACATATGTACGTTAGTATAAGCCATTGTCACAGAGATCTTCAACAATTGTACGAGAACAGAAGTTCTAAACGCATAGAACATCGTATGCGAGTGCTAAATGCCTCGTTACGAACACTGACCTGTGGTGCTCAAGGTGGTATTTTTGGAAAGTGACAGACATGGGGACGCCAATGGGGAGATTGGCGAAGATTCCGAGCCAGCGGTTGTAGACCGGCGTGGAGAAGGCGAGGTTGTGGCTAAGCTCGTGGATTGCAAGGAAGAGATTGTGGTTTAGGAACGAGCCGAAGAAGTAGGCAATGGCTAGCATCTTCAGCCACCCTGAGTCGTGGAGCAATGTTGCTGTCCATAGCTGGAGGATCACAACCACACCAATCTGCCAGCAGGAAAAAGACACTAACTTTACTGAAAACCCAATTGAAACATCCAAACCAAAATTCAAATTCCTATCCCCGAATCTATGATTCTCATCGTTGAATCGACCGCAGAGGCTAAAAATTGACGCTGGAAAACAGAGGTTGCAATTTGAATTGAGGGAATGGAGCGACATTGCGGGCGAGATCTGAAAACCCTAGCGATAACGAAGGACAGAGAAGAGGGAATTGCGAAGGTTGTCTCTGACCTTGGGGAAAGCCCAGGGGTCAGGGCCGAAGAGCTGCTTAATCTGAGGGTATTGAGAGAGGATCTGTTTTCTGCGGGAGGCGTGAGGCTCGTCGGTGTAAGACCAGAAGAAATCCGACGCCATTACCACGCCTTCGTCTTTCTCCTGTTCCGACGCCATTGATGAAATCCTCTCACCCCCTTTCCCCATTGTTGTTCTTCTTCTTCCCTCTCTCTCTTTTCTCGTTCGCCTCGCTCTTCTTCGTCCGCCCTGCTTCCCGAGCCCAAAAGGAAAGCTCTCCTCTCGGAGAAGGATGAGATAATTGTTCAGCGACGGAAAACAGCAAAGGCTCTCTCCGGTCTCCTTTTCAATGGAGGTCCTTCTTCCTTGCTTTTCGGGGTGTGGAGGATTGTTGTCTTCTTCAAGCAATTGGACGCCGCTGGTTTTTTTGGGCAAATTTGCAGATATGGAGAAGTTTTTTTGGTATAAATAAGTGGGAGGTTGATAGTGAAACTAGCCAACAGATTTCAGCTTGGCTACTAGAGATGAATATCCCGCATTTAGACTTCTCGCATGTTCTTTATTTGTTAGTTTCTTACAAGCTTGTCAAATCGGTTTACGTGGTTTCCTCGATTTAGCAAGTATAATAGTTCCGGTTGATGATACAATTAGTTTATATCGATGTATATCATTTTATCAAATTAGTATAAATTTAACAATAACCATTAACATCAAATGAATTTAATCATATATAAAAATATAATTGGATTTTATTTATTTACAATCCATATATTTATACTAAATGTGCAACTTAAAATTCTAAAGATAGGGTTAGGCGAAGAGGAAAATAAAAAAAGAGGCACATTTTGCAAAGCAAAGAAAAAATGACGGTGTGTGACTTCCAATCCAGTAACCGTGTAGTAAGTCAATCCAATCAGTGGCGGAGCAAAAAATCTAAACGAGAAGGGGAGCTAAAAAAACTACGCTTAGAGAGCTCGAATTGATGAGGGGGGCTAAAGTCTTACCAACTACTATATTTCTCCAAATTTTATCCAAATTTACATGTAATTTTGCGTGATTTTGCGAATTAAAGGGGCTATAGGCTCCCCTGAACATAAGGTGGCTCCACCACTGAATCCAATGAATATGTAATCTCATCTTTTTTGCAAGATGAGGGTCAAAACGAGTCAACCGAACGACAACCTTGATTTATATAAAACCATTCTCTTGACCCTCAATAAAAAAAAAATCAAAAAACACATACGGAAAACAAATTTTATTTTTCCGTTTGAGCTGCATGATCCATGTTTTCTGTTTTAGTGGGCCTGATAATGTTCAACATAAACTTCATGAAAGGCCCAATTGAGCTCCCCTCTAGCACAATAATTAATACGATATCAAACTCTTTGAGCCCAGGAAAAATATATCCTCGGCCTACCACTTCAATTGGACTTCTATCATCGTACACACCTTAGCCCAACAATGAAAGCCCAGTTGTTTGTCAGCCCCGTTCAACCAGAAGGACGTTGAAGTAAAAGTGCGCGGCAGCGGAGAATAATTTCGTTGACTGTTTGACAGCGAATAAGGACGTGGCAACTGGAATTTTATCCAAAGGCAAAGACGTGGGACCCACAACAAATCACGAGCATGTAATTCATTATTCGCTCCGACTTGGATCTCTGTCAAAATATTAAAACGTTGCTTTTTGGATAAGGTGCCCATCACCAAACTAATCTGTTTTAATCGTTTATTAATCCTAATTAATATAGAAGAGTTGGTGAATGGTGAACACATTAATTATGGTGAGAGTGGTTGAATACTCATATTAAAACGAGACTAAACTGTTTCAGTCAGAGCAATAGACCTCCAATTGATTAAACATATTAGGGTTGGTTCATTTGCTCAGACCAATAACAATGGACCGAATGATTTTTAGTGGACAAATATGAACTACATGCAACTAGTCGCTCTAATTGGTTTACTAGTTCCAATATTTACCCAAAGAAAGCGGAAACCTCAACTTATCAAATATGAATTACTTGTGAGAGCGTTCGATGATAGATAATAGAAATTCTAAATTCCTTATGATTAATGATAATTTTATATTTTTATAGATAGTTATTTAACGATCTTATACCGGGTAATTTATGAACCGGAAGGAAAGAGGTACAAATTTTGAAATTATAATAATCTATAAACAGATTTTACTACGATAAGATAGGTGGGGAATTTAATTTGATATCCAATCTATCCTCAAGATTAAAAGTGTAGTAAGATCCAGAGATTCGGATAAGACTTCCACGTCATCGCATGACATTATAAATGTCAGTACCTTTCTCCCCAAATTTCAGCACAATCCCATTCTCATTTTTACTCATCGTCTTCAACCTTCATTCAACCAATCTTTCCATCCTTTTGATTCCTCGAAAAATTTGCAGTCGAAGCCAAAAAAAAAAATGTTGGCCATCTTCCAGAAAGGTGTGGTGAATCCACCTCAGGAGCTCAACAGCCCAGCCTACCCTCCTTCCTCCTCATCTTCCTCCCCGCGGCCACCGAAGCTCCCGCACCAGATCGTCGACGAATTCCTCTCCTCCAACCCGTCCGATTCCTTCTCGATCAAGTTCCGCGACAATGCCCTGCTCGCCTGCGTCCCACGCCGCAGCTCGCTCGGCGCTCACCAGAGGTTCGTTCTAGCCTCCCCTCTCCTCTCTTCTCGAATCAGAATTGAAACTCTTAATTAATTGGGGAAGTGGTATTTCGCTGCAGGGTGTTCTGCGGAGTGAACGACGTCTACTGCGTATTCACGGGGAGCCTGATCAACCTCTGCAGCTTGAACAAGCAGTACGGCCTCTCCAAGGGCACCAACGAGGCAATGTTCGTGATCCAGGCGTATCTGACCCTTCGTGATCGCGGCCCTTACCCTGCTCACAAGGTTCTCAAGGACCTCGAGGGCGAATTCGGATTCGTCCTCTACGACTCCAAGTCGGGCCGGGTCTTCGCTGCTCGGGTAAGTCTAAGTCCGCTGCTGCTGCTGCTGCGATCACGTTCTGTCAATCAATGTATTCATTTCTTTTCGATTTAATGAATGCAGGGAGCCGGCGAGGAGGGAGTGGGGCTGTACTGGGGAATAGCAGCCGATGGATCGGTTGTGATAACAGACATCTTGGATGGGATGAAGGGGAGCTGCGGGAAGTCGTTTGCCCAGTTCCCCGCCGGGTTCATGTTCGAGAGCGAGGAAGGGCTGACGAGCTTCGAGCATCCATGGAGCGAGATCAGAGCCATGCCGAGAATCGACAGCGAAGGGAGTCATGTGCGGAGCTGATTTCAAGGTCGATGTGCAGTCCAGGGCTGCTACTGCTGGTACAATGCCGCGAGTCGGCAGCGAGGCCAACTGGGCTCTGGGCGGTTCACAAGCCTGAAGTTTCATTTCTTTCCTAGCGACTTTTGGTTTAGAATCTGAGATCTAACTTCGAATGTTGTTTCTTTGATATGTTCTTTTTGTCTGTTGTTGATGATGTGCTGTTTTAGTTAACGAGTCTTGGGTTTGTGATGCTTTCATGGTGAATAGAGAAAAGGGGCTTCGTCCCTGTACAATGTAAATATGTTCTATGGTTCCATTGAATGATTTTTCACTTGGGAAAGATGATCCTGGCTTTCATTATTTGTGTTGATATGACTTGAATCGGACTATCAGCCGCTACGACTGGTAATCGGGAGTCTCGCTACGACTTGAATTTAGACCCACATGGAGAAGTACTATAAATACTTCTCATATTTCTCTGTAATCTGTAATCTCCTCGATATAGTGAAACTGGCTCTCTCTCGCCCGTCGACTAGCTAACACACATCGTTTTAGTGAACCACGTAAATCGTGTGTCTGTGTCTTTCGATTCTCGCTTTCATATTCTTGCTTTGTCGATTCCAGCGATTTCCCGATCCGTAGCAGCGCGTTTATAACAATTTGAGCTGTTCCTGCGCGTTTTGCAACTCTAGATATGGGATCTGCAGTAGCAACTGTAACATATTCGTCCACGAAAGTGTTTTTGCGTAAAGGGCTGGTCACATACAGCATCAACTTCAACAGTTTCCAGAATACAAAGTACTCTGCAATTATAGTCCAAGTACGTACCTTTCTTCGAAAAATGAGAAGAGAAACAAGTTTTACAGGAGAAATCATGCATTTTCAGGGAACAGGGACAGTGTAGCTGATAAGCCCATACGACCTCTTAATGGAGTCTGTTTCTAATATCTATCATACCATCTTAGTTTCTACAAGATCTATCTATGTTGTTACATCACAAATCATACAGCTCAAGTATGGCCCTAGTCTACTGGAAAATCGACCGACGTTTAAGACTGCGAGCATTTATTACAGGCTTCTTCCAGTACAGGTATATGAAACAAGCCTTAAACATATATACAGATCCAAAGACCGGAGAGTATAGGTTAGATTCCACAGCTGCATTCAGAGAAGCTGACTATATGTAAACTACCCATGTACCTCTGATGGAACAGACAGCCAGAACGTCGGTAAATGGATGCGGGTCAAAAGATAATCTCAAACTACACGACTCGGACCCATGTACCCCCGCACATAGGACAGCCATACGCCCAACGACTGATCCACCACGTCTCACGATCACTTGGATTACCTGGGTGCATGGCACTCGGTGAAGTGAAGGCCGAAGTCTGTCTCAAACATCGTATGCACTGCAATCAGAATACAACACAGAATTGAGTTTAATCAGAAACAGTAGCCTTTCATCTGGTGCAGAAAAACACAAGAACACAGGTAGCAAAAGCTTAAACAAATGGACACCCAACCCAAGTATCCAATTGCTAGCAGGGCAGTCATCATGGGAGAGGGGTGTAGGAGAAATTTGCGGAGAAGGAAAATGGGGAAAAAAGAATCACCTTATACCAAACGCCTTCAAGACCAGTCTTCCAAAGAGCGGTAACCACGTCCCTTCGTGATCCCATTATCCCAAGATAAGCTCCTAAGCCGACTGATGTGTTCAAGCCAAAGGCAGCATCTCTCTCAGACAATCTACGCCTCTTAGGCCACAGGCCGTGAGCCCCGTAGTGCACATCACAATTCTCTAATGAGCTGCAATCTAATAATGAATCCGGAGAGCTGCCGAGTTTGGGAGTTTCCTCTGGTGAATTCAAGTCCTCTGGATCGGACCATGGACCACCAAACATATTACGCCTGTGCCACTCTTCGGAAGGTGGGTGAAGTTCCAACTCACGTAATAAGAGGCCAGCGGCATCAGCACCTCTAGGCCTGGGCATATTCTACAGACAAGAAAGGGCACAAAGGCAAAGAGAAGCCCAATTCAATCGCTACATAACAGATTATTTGATCACGTGAAATGCCTAACTGTAAACTTCTTAGGTAATACCTGCATGTGTGGGCCAAGAGATGCTTCCACAACTTCCGGCAAGACAGTATAATTGCCATCGATATAATGGAGTCGCACCTGGATGTTGTTACTTCCCACCTGTGAGACCGGCAAAGGATGTGCTAGAGCTGCTGTTCGTCTACAAAGATCCATGAGAATGAGAAATAGAACCTTAACCTGAGACAAACACAAGAATTTCATTATTCCAAATTTCCAATCATTCACGGCAACGAAAAAAGTGGCGGACCGGTTCTGGTTTTCGGTTAACCAGAGACCAAACTGGTAGCTGGTCTTTAAATGGGTCTTGGATTTTCAATTACAAGCAACAATTAACAAAAAATCAACCGAAGTTTAATTTACCAAATCGTATAAAACAGAACCATGGATCTAGAGACCATAGGAATGCACCCCTTATTATATCGGGCTAGTTTACTTGCAAAGCAAAACTCGGAGGACAGTGTAGAGTTCTGTGTGCATGAAAATTACTGCAATTTTTCGGTTGAGTTGCCAACGGGTATTCGGTGGTACAGGAAAGAGCACTGGTGCAGTTATAAAGTAGGATATATGATTCCTGGAAATGGTTCGACTAGCCCTAACTGAGGGAATTCAACTAATTCCGGTCTGCCAGGAATCCAGGCAATTTTGTTTGTTCAGTACAGGCTATTGTTCGTAGGAGTATAGTTGTACATGCTATTGTTGTTTGAGTTGATAGAAGGTTGGTATAGCTTTAATTGATGTAAGAATTGTCTAATCCTTGTTTTCTTGTTAACCGTCAGGATTACCATTTTGACTCATTGGCTAGTGGTTTTAGTTAACCCTTAATGTAAAGGTTCAGTTACAGTTAGGAATAATGATTCCTTAAGACTTTCAGTTCAGTTAACCACCCCTAAAGAAAATATTTGAACAGGTGGATTTAATCATAAATGACAAGTACGCCACTAGTGAAAAAGAATATAATAATATCGAAAGCTAGCTCCCAGCATACCTCTTCAAAGGTGTACCCCTGACCAGCATTGCCACAGCCTAGTCTTGAGCGACCAGCAGGTCCATCTTCAACTCCTTTGGCTCCAGGCATGAGCTGACCACTTCGAGCTGCTGCTGGACCTTCGTCTGATCTAACCATAGCAGTCGCTACTGGTTTTGAGGAAGCAGAATTGGTGTCCTCAACCTTGCCAGCTGGGACACCAGGCGGCTGAGGTTTTTGCGTACTGGAATCATTACTTCTCTGTGATACCCCAATAAAGCGAGGAAGCTGTGTTCGGCGAAAGAAGAAACAGAAGAGCAGAAGCTGGCATAATCTATGAACAAAATGACAGTCTCCAATTAGCCGAACAGCTGGTGTTCCAGGGAATGTCCCAGTGTTAATGCTTATGGGCATAAAAGGAGCTGGACCACTGATAGGGTTTGGAGTCGAAGCAGGCACACCATCTGTTGTGCTACTAATCTTAGCAATAGCACCTTGCACCCAGGCCTGCACCTGAGTGCTTCCATTTGAATTTGTTGTGCCAGTTTGACCACCTGGAAAATATTTTGAACTATTAGAATATAAGCACTGTACACAGCAACTTGAAGAATATAAGCACTGTACACAGGCTGCATACTTTCAACTATTGGAATATCCCCATTTTATCAACAGATGCAAATAAGGGAAAACCCCTTCCAATGAAAAAGAACAAGGAAAAACAGCTATAAAGAACCGTAGCATTGTACAATCTTATAAATAGACAGACAAAGTTTCAGATGATTTGCTGAGACGTGTACAGAAAATTCATTCATGCAGCAATTCTTTTTTTGGTTAGGTGTTCACATCTCTAAGCATGTGGCTTCTCAGCGCATGAATGTACAGTCAGTTTAACAGTTTAACCACCAATTTTCATAATAAAATGTGGTTTGGAGTGTACACTAACCCTGAGTTGTTCCCTGGGATGCAGAACTTGGAGTAGGACTAGTTACCATATTGCGATTGCTGCCTGTGCCTGCAGTAACAGCATGGGTAGCTAATGTGCGACAGAAACTTGCATAACGCCGCAAACGAGTGATGAAATGCGATGCTAAATCAAGAATTGCGTCCACATATGCCTGCATCAAGGTATGATGTCAGTTCCCAAAAGATGAGAGAGAGAGAGAGAGAGAGAGAGAGAGAGAGAGAGAGAGAGAGAGAGAGAGAGAGAGAGAGAGAGAGACAGAGAGAGAGAGACAGAGAGAGAGACAGAGACAGAGACAGACAGACAGACAGACAGACAGACAGACAGACAGACAGACAGACAGACAGACAGAGACAGAGACAGAGACAGAGAAGGGGGGCATTTACATTGAAATCTACTTAAAGGACCAAGGCAAACAACAGTAAATGATGAAAGACTTCGAGCTAAAATCAATAAAGCATTTCCCATTGTAGAAAACCTTCTTGGGCTAAGCTTGATGGAAGTAAGACACATATTCAATGACATGACTGACTACAATAAGGTTAATGGAAGCAAGACACATTAAACATGTTGTCCTTGTGTGCTTCAGACAATGATGATCAGTTGTTCACAAGCACACCATGTGTTGGGGGCTTTGTTCAAGATTTTACCAATACAAAGAAATCAGAACTGGTAGAAATGTCAGGGCAGGGCTTCAACTAACCTGTATGCTTGGAACAAGGTTTGGATCAACAGCCATGGCTTCGGGATCAATACCAGATAATGTCTCACCAGATGCCTGCCATGGTTCAGATACTAGCGCAGAAGGATTTATCAAGGCTGATTCAATGCCTTTGCCGAGCATATCAAGCAGCAATCTAGCTTGCATATCAAGAACCATGGCCCTAACTTCCTGAGCATTTGTACCTTCTAATAGCCTACATTTTATCCTGTCAAGGCTCTGCAAGAAATGTATACAAATGGAAGAAGTACAAATTAACTACATCTTATGTACCAAACATGCAGTTTAGAAAACACTAGTAGTCATCATCGTTGATTATCCAAAACTACATACAAGTAAAAGAGAAAGCAAATTGAAAATGCATGAATATGTATGTAATGATCAATAGCGTTCATTGGCATAGTTAGTAAAATTTTGCTGCTGACATCCCCAGAATTGCAACTAAACAATAACAGATGGTAAAACAAATAAAGCAACATGCTTGTGGTGCCAATGATCAAAGGAAACATGTGACTCTGAAAGAAACTCCAAAGGACTAATATTCTCACTATAGCAGTCTACTAGGGAAAATAACATTGACTGTTTGAAAGAAACAAAGTCAAGAGAAACATACCGGCCCATACTGTTGCCTGTGCTGAACAGAGGGAAGAGAGTGAAAATCCCCATCCAAAACAGCAATGACACTGTTGAGCGATACTGGAACCAAACCAAAAACTTCATTACTAACAAAAGATAAGTACAGAATGTACTGTATGATCAGATTTTTATGCACTCAAAAAAGAATTGTCCAGCTACGCAAAAAATAATTACATGTTATCAGTCAGAACTGCTGAAAACCCAAATATCTTACCTATACCATCCTCGGCAGCACTCTGTGTACATCCAACAGCATCCCACCAATCAACTCCAACCAAAAGGCTCCACCAAAACCTGCTCTGACAAAAACAGAACCAGCATGTGTTTTTCAAAGATTAGGTGATGTGCAGAAAATTCATAGATAAGAGGAGCTTAAAACCACAAAATTGCATTCATTTTATTACCTTTCTGCAATTGCACGTTCCCAAGTTGCCGAGTTAACCTTTATTTGACTACTTGGGACAGCAGGAGGTAGAACCCGAATGATCTTTAGTATTGTGCAATCCTTACTAGTGTCATGCCAAACTGAAGCTGAGCAGCAACTGGTAGAAGAAAACGCAGGTGCGGCGACTGCTGATCCAACATTGATCTGGTAGTTATCTACAGGAGCAAAGTTCGGACCAGAAAATATGTGCACTCCACCACGCAAGAAGGCCACAGCTATTTCACCCCCATGAGCAGAATATACAATTCTACCAAGAGTTCTAACATCACTTGGCAGATCAAACGGATCAAAGATCACTCTTTTAGAATTCTCAACACATATATCAGATGTTTTCTTGGCATCAAAATTTGGTACTGCCACGGCTTCTTGGTGATTTCGAAAATCATTAGTCGGAGGTATGCTGGTGTCCACTTTGGACACCCATACAGTTTGCATTGGTGCCTGCCCACTAAAACTGGACGTAGGATTTCCAAATATTTGATGAAGAACAACAGGCTGAAGAGATGATTCCCACCGCTGCACCCTCCATCCTGTTATAGAAGGGCCCTCATCTGGATCATACGGGGACATGTACTGGCCTGTGTGTATGAAACAACCATTAGATGAAAATGACACGCATGGAAAACATGCCATGGTACAGAATCAACGTCAGATGTTAAAAAACACATAGTAAAGGCAAAAACATGAGCACCATTTTCTAAGTGCAAAGTCATTATGATGTCAAAGTACCTTCAACAATCACGACCGCAATCACAGAGCCGCCGCGAGTTGGATCAAAAGCAACAGCAGTGACTCCCGATCCCCAGGTGGTAGTTGTTGCAGATTGAGCTGCAGCATCAGGACTTACATATGCAGAAAAGTTTGAGACAGGAGAACAGTGAAGTGCTACAGCTTCACATAAATCTTTATCTGTATGTTTCTTCCCCTGCTTTGCTTCCGATATTAGATATTCTTGCCAACTAAACAAGTATGCAGCCAAAGGAGCAAAACCAGCCCAATTAGGAGGATTCAATGAAGGAGGGACTCCACAATTAGCGCTCATCTTTGGAGTTGCTTGAAGTCCAGTTCCAAGGCCAAGAGTAACCTCCCACACTACAACGGTAGAAGGGTTGACAATTGGAACCCCAGCAACGTGCATTGCACCACTATCCGTTATGATGGCATCAGCAGCCATGATCCCACTCGGTCCAGCCCCTAAGAGTCCTTTGCTAGTGCAAAACCACTTTGGTGATGCATTACTTTGACTAGGAGGCCACTGGGACCAATGAAGTTGTACTGAACCAGATGAGAAAACAGAACAGACACAAGGGAAATTGGGCCATCGAGCTGCAATAACACCATAAAAGCAGATCTGTTAATAAAACTGTCATTCATTTGCTTTATAATTCAGTGATGACTACGACAGAACTACACAACTCTTTTTTATTTTTTTTACACTTGGCAACTCACTCAATAAAACTGGATACTAATGGGCAACTGCATTACTTGGCAAGGTTATGAAGAAATACGTAGGTAAGGGGAACTAAGATAATACCACCTGAAGTCTGAGACTGCTGGGATAGGAATTTTTCCTCAAAAGTTGACTTCGGATGGGTAGCACTGGATTTCGAAGAAAGCCACCTATACTGATTAATTCGAAACAAGTTAAGCAATAACCATATGGCAGTTTAGTATTACTACAGGCACAAATATCTAAATATGATATTCCACTATTAAATTATGGTCCCAGGACGGCATCAAGAGCAAATAATTTTTCATATGAATCAAATTGGTGGCAGAAAGCAGAGGTGTAGTTAAACTCAGGTGCTGAAACAGAATTGAATGCAGAGAGAAAAAACACTAGACAGCAACTGAACAAGGTACATAAAGCGCAGAGCAACATACCGGAGAAGCGCCGGATAACCACTTTGTAACAACTGCAATATCTTGCCTCCATTCATGCTCGCGCTGCCAGCAACTGGCATCACGTACTAAGTTAGCTGGGCCCTACATAAGAAAGATGAGGAGGATAGCTTCTAAGAATTCAAAGATCCTACTAGCCAGAAGTACTTCACAGTTCACAGTATGGTTAAAGTGATGTAAATATAAGGAGTGTATGTCCAGTAAAACAACGTATACAGAATAAAGAGACCGCAAACTTACTTGAGATGGTTGAGTCCATATTGTTATTCTCCCATGGAAATTAGCTATTAGTAAGGCACGAGGGCAGGAAGCAGGAGACCATTCAATAAACTGAACAGAATCACGAGGTGAATCTGCAAAGGACTCCAATGTGTTACTGCCATTTGGAAAATGAGAACCAGCCAAAAAATGAAGAGTTGTCGCCATTACCAAAAAAAAAAGAAAGTAAAAATCAAATGGAATGGAATTGAAAAAGGAATTCCTGATATATGGTTATCAATGAACGTATCAATTGGGCGTTGAGTTAATGTCCATAAATGATTAGCAGGGATGACGAGGATACTAATTAATAAAGACAGCTCATTCAGCTATCGAGATACACACAACATAACATGAACATATCCAAATCAATCAATTAACTGAGGGAGGGTCACAACTCAATCTAATACCTGCTATTACGTTAAAAACGGCACACTCGGTTGGTCGCTCCGGGATGACAATGTGTATGGGGATCCAAAATGGAGGATTTGCAGTGGAACTAAATCAACAAAAAACAATGAGTAAGAAGGATTTAAGTAAGTACGAAAACAGAAGAACAATTGTACGAGAAATAAGCTTTTCAGTATCAAGAGCCAAAAAGGAATGTGCATTAGGAGACTTGAGACTCAATTGGAAATAGATTTTCAATTGAATTCAATTTTACATACTAGTACAGAGAGCAGACCAGAGGGGAATAAGTTCATCCATTTTGAGTATACTCCAACAAGATCAAGAAACTGAACAAGATCAAAATCATAGTGTGTCTCATCTATTACCAAACATCCAGGAGTAACAAGAGCCAAGAATTACTGATGAATAAACCAAGACTAATGGTTCTCGTAATTGGAAACAAATAGTTGAGCTGAAACAATTACAATGTAAGGCTAGTGAAACAGAAGAATACAGAAGGAACTTCAACGCCAAAGATTATGTACAAGGAGTTAGGTTACTACTCAACCATGTGTAAGTTATTCATGAAACCAAGTGCAAATTGCTACATTAACAATGCCGAAACTACACTTAACAGAGTAGTTTCACATTGTCCCTCTACCTCAGGAACGTAGTCAGGAGGGGGAAAAACTCCAAGTCAATGAGAACACTAACAGCAGCATTGCTGGGTAAAAAAAAACATTATTTGGTGTAGAAAATAAGCAGCGAACTGACCTTGGAATTCTTGCACAAGTTTCTGACGCACATGCTATAGCATTCAACTTCCCACACCAAGCCACAGCACTGAAAAAGAAATGAGCAACAAGGAAAAAACATTAGGTTCGAAATGCAAAACGCAGTTGAAGGAATAGATAGCATTGCTAAGAACTTTATCCCAAACCGATACCATTTAGCTTCCGATCTAAACTCCTTTTGACTCCACCAAAGAAGCGCCAGCAAATTCATTCAAAACTGAAGGGCCATACCTACTCTCATCAACACAAATTCATCCTATCAAGACGCTAGCATTCTTCTTACTCCCTAAGCTATACTTAACTACATCAGCCATCAAAACCTTCAACAACAGAGGGCGTTCATCTTATCCACCCTTAATCTTCTTATCCCCCACCAAGTTACAGTTCACTAAATCAATCATCAAAGTCTTCAGCAAAAAAATGTGTTCAATACATCACAGTAAACAAACAAACAAACAGACTTTGAGCAAAGCAAGAAGCTAGACCTCCATCATTAAACAACCCCTACCATGCCAGAGTTGATCTCAAAGAGATGCACTTCCTTTGCCAAATTTCTCCAAAAGAATATCATCAACAGCAAATCAATTATACCTAAAATTGCGGCAAAGCTCAGGCACGCTCATCTTATGCATCAAATTGGACCGCGGCTGTTTAAGCCTGATGCAGAACACAGTAGCCGGACCAACCGAATCCTCCTCCATCGGATCGTCGGGCTTCTCCATGCTCTCTTCCTCGCTACTTCCCGCCTCCGCCTCCGCCTCACCCTTCTCCGACACCGCCGCCACCGCAGCAGCCGCCGTCTTAGCCGCTACTTCCAAAGCCTGAGCGACTCCTTCCTCGTCCGGTTCCTTGCTAATACCAGCTTCCTCCTCCTCCTCCTCCTTTTCCTGCTCCACTTCCACCTCCACCTGATGCTGTGGCTGTGATTGATTGCTCATTTCGACAATTGACCGAACCCTGGAACTTTATATATATGAGACAAAGGGAGAAAAAGAAAGCCGGGAAAAGTAGACTAAAGGCACAGCGGGGAGGCGAAAGTCGCGAGTGAAGGCGACAGGTTGAACTGTAGAGAGAGAGTGAGTGGGGTTAGTGTGGGCTGGCGGGCGTTCGAGAGTGCGATTACATAAGAGAGAGAGAGAGAGAGAGAGAGAGAGAGAGAGAGAGACGGGAGGGAAGGGGAGCAAGGAATTGGGAATTTTGTTTGTTTTTGGAGTTTCTAGGGTTTGTTGGTGAGGAAATGGGATGACACAGAGAGAGATTCTTCTTCCAGATGTTTTGGGAGATTTTGTGGGACGGCGGAGGACGGCGGTGTTTTGTCTCTCCCTCTATACCCGGCGGCGTTTCTTCTCGCCGGCGTTCACTTTCTTTTCTTTTTAATTCTGGCCGTTTCTTTCTCGATTGGACGGCGGGAGAAGTCAGGTCGACTTTCGCTCTTTGTTTTTTACGTCTTTTCTAGATATTCTTTATTAGACCCATCATCAAATAGGTCTAGATGACTTAATAACAAACAATTCGTTATAATTAAAGTTTTAGAAAGCAACTTATACTTTAAACAAAAAAAAACTCCAATAATTTGGTATAATGGTCTGGATGATTTCTTCCTATCAATATATTTGGATTTTAGATATATGGTAGGGCTGGGAAAATAGATTTTGAAAAACTATGGATCAAATCGGATCGCACGGTTTGGTCGGGATCGTAGACCGTTAAGAATGGTTTGGTCAAGTACATGGTTTATATTATATGATGTCTTGATCTCTTTGGCCTAATCTGGTCTGGTCTGGTCTAGATCGTGGTTTATCGAACTAAACCATGGACCTAGTCGACTTCCCAATACGTGTTACCAGCTCACTCGGCCACTCTCTCGAGTTCCCCAACGAGACCCAAGTTTCATTCACAGCCACATTTCACCAAAGAGTAGAAACGATCATGTCTCAGTATGACATTATGTTAATGTTAATGACGTTATGGTGCAAGTTGGGATGCTTTGACTTTCTACTTTTGTTGTTTACCAAGATTTAGGGTGTAAAAATTATTCATGCATGTTGGAATTTATGATTTAATGCAAAAAAACCCATTTTTCTATATTATTGATTCACTTTTTGGTGTGGTTGGCTAAACAAATTATTTTTTTTTTTGTTCATTGTGGTCTATTTGGACCGGAGCAGACCCCACAGGTGTGGTCTGGTCTGGATCGTATAGTACGTGATCTGATATATGGTCTATACTCCAGTCTTTTAATCTGAATCATAGACCGTATATATGACTAGACCGCATCGTTTTCCAACCCTAATATTATTCATCATTTTCGTTTACTTTGTAACTCGATTAATTTTTTAATTTTTTAAAAGTCGATCATCATAACTTAAATATTTAGAGATATATCATATATTGAGAGATATATCAATATATCATATATTGAAGAAGAGGAGGTTATGATAATGGAGCGGTAATTAAGTCAAGTGGAAGGGTTAACATATGTATGTAATTGCGCAATAAATGATTGAGCTTCAAGTTTGTACCAATAAGAATCCGGATAATAAGCTCATTCAAGAGACAAAGTTTTACTGGGCCTATCATTGCTCTCGCTATGGGCTTTTTTTTCTTGTATCTAGTTTGGGAGTGCAAAACGAGGCCCATGATAGAGGAAAAAACTACCCCAGCCGTGCTGCCTCACAAATGGTCCACTTACACTAAAACAAAATTATCAATTTCATTTTCACCCAATTGCCGGGAATTTCTTTTATCAATTTCATAAATATATTAAGTTAGGATTTAAGAAACTTCTTTTTATGAATCTTTCTATGTAGTTTGAATGTTGATCTATTGTCTACATTTGACCTCGTTGCCTCATGAAATAATGCCACACATACAATGAAAAGAAGCTTCTATTCCTAATATGCATGTCATTCTATATCCAATCTAATCGGGTTGCAAGAGAAATTATATACTACAACCAATGTGTTTTATTTTTCATTAATTATTCTATTGTTATTTCATATTGTTTGTTGTTTTTTAAATTTTGATACGAAACTCAAGTTATTGGAAGATTATATAATGTCACGATCCGTGGTAGCATGGCTATATAATCCAATAAAATTTGGTAAATCCAAATACTTTGTTATGATTTTTACAAGTCAAACATTATTAAATTATAATATTATGCGAATTCATATAATTTAACCTCCATAATACATAGGCCATTGAGATTTACATATCTCGCGACACATGTACTGTCAGAAACACATTTATTTAGAGTTTCTATTGTTATATCAGGGAGAATAATTATAATTATGGTTAGTAGAGATTTAACCGTATTAGGATTATTATTAGGGTTTCCAGTATTTCCTATATATATGTACTTTGGGTTTACGTCATAATCAGTCAATAAGAATATTAAGAAGAATCTCCTAAATCCTAGTTATCCTCTCAACTCCTAATTTCTATTCTCTCCTAATCCAAGGCCTCGGCCGATTCCCAATTCTATTCTTCCTCATCTAAATCCCTAATTCTTTCTCTCAAACCCTAAATCCCTAATTATCACGAGTGCCGAAGATCAGTATCGAGAAGCCCTAGAAGCGAGGTTCTCACATGTACATGCTAAACGACATCCTAATCAATTAAATTAGTTCATAGTAATGTAGTGAAAATTGCAATTTAAACTTTAAAAACTTACACTTTTACACTTCCAGATAATCAATGCTTCTATATAGAATCATGTTTTTCCTAATTAATATAGTCAAAATCACTCTTTTACACTTGAACGTTATCAAAACACTTCTACATAAATTCGTCCATGTATTTCTAAATCTATCTCCATGGCACCTTGACTTGGAGAATATATCCAACAAAATAAATGGCCCATTTTGATTCCCAAGTCCACCTTTATGCAATTTTGACCACACATAGACCACAAACCTTTTTCCTAGAAACCCAAACAACAATATAGTTGGAGGGTTTGGACTTTTGGAATGACTCTTTCTTCACCACTCATATGCTCAAGTTGGACCAAAATCTCGTGAGGTATGAAAGCTTGGAAGTCACGAGGTGTCAAGGATTTCATTGTATTGGAAACATGGGATCACATCAAATGACCAAATGTGTGGCTTCCCCAATTGCACGTTTTTTTTTTATCTTCTTCTAATTATTTTTGTTGTAACTGCGCTGCTACGAATTGGGAAATCGTCGGAATCGATAAAGAAAGAAAATCAAAACAAAAGGCACACGACACACGATTTACGTGGTTCACTAACACAATGTGTGTTAGCTAGTCCACAGGTAGGAGAGAGTCAGTTTCACTATATCGAGGAGATTACAGATCACAGAGGAGATGAGAAATATTTATACTTCTTCATGTGGGTCTAACCTAATCCAATATGGTAAAGGAAACGGTTACAGACCAGACCCAAAATTAAAAACCCAAACGTGTATCGACCCATACACTGTAGATTGTTAGTTTATTTATATATAGAGTGGATGATTATGATATCTTAACTTTGTTTCTGGAAGAAGGAAAAGTAACAAAAATCGGTAGAAAATTTTATCTTGTTCATAAGTTTTTCTAGAGTACTAGAGAGTAATTATTCGGGAGAAAATGTTGGTATAGCAATTGTGGAGTGAAATCAATGTTTGCTATTTTTTAATATTATTTTCTCCTTTAATTTCCCTTCAAAAATTGAACACCACTTATTTCTAGGGATGGCAAAAATATCCATAACCGTGGATATCCACCCGAATCCGACCTAATCGGGTAGGGTAAAACCCGAACCCGAAGGACTTTTAGTGGGTACGGGTAAAACCCGAACCCGAATATTGCGGGTAATGGATGGGCATGGTTTTCTCACTATCCAACCCGAACCCGCCCGATTATACACATGCATATGTATTTTGTCTAGAAATAATCAATATTTTTCTCTAACATAATTTATATTTAGCATATAAATATCATTTTTTTATGAAATTGTGTTGTTTTAATTAATTTTCTTCATTCTAGTGAATTATTGTCGTACTTTTCGTCTTACGTAACGTGAGAATACGTGTAAATATTAACGTATTGGTTGGAGTTATAAAGAAAAAATATTATCCACGGATAACCGTGGATACCCGAAACCCGAACGGGTATGGGCATGGTTTGGATTTCCTATCCGTTTCTTATGTGGGTATGGGCATGGGTAAAACCCGAACTACTATGGGTAGGGTAACGGATATGCACTATCCGTCCCCGACCCGACCCATTGCCATCCCTACTTATTTCACTCCCTCTAAATTTTTCTTCCACTCCTCAATTTTCTAAACCCTCTTTCATGATAGAGTGTTAGTGTTGAGAATGATTAAGTTGGTTTCAATGAGTATATAAGACCTAAGTATTTGGGGGAGTCTTGTATAAGACGTTAGAAAATCATATCATAGCTTTTTATCTCAGAATGTCCAAGTGACTAAAAGCCTGTGAAACAGTTAGGTCAATATAAATGGCAGAGAGTCGTCATGCCTTGTTAAAACTTTCAAATATAACTAGAAATACATGTAAATATGGCTAGCAAATGGTTATCGAGCTAACTAATAATCGATAAAGATTAATAATTAAGTTATCGATATGTTACTTTTGCTTTAATGCTTAATCACTGACCGACTAAAATGATTAGTGGTTAACCGATAAACAATTAGGTTGGTGATTGACTGTTTTTAGTATTATGTGTTGAAATTGAATCTGAGTTGTGAAATTCATAATATTTTGTTAGATTCTCTTTGTTAAAAGTAGGGGTGGGCATTGGATGGGTCGGGTGGATTTTGACCATAAAATGCACCCACCCGCGCTTAAACGGATTGATAATTTTTAACCCATCACCCACCCACATTTAGTCTCGGGTTGGGTCGGGCGGATGGTGGATGATGCGGGTGGGTTTGTGGGTTCACCCACATTATAATGTATATAATATAAAGGAGTCAACTTGAAATGATAATAGGTGAAGAGAATCATCGAGGGAAACAAGAAGTTGAAATAGGGCGAAAAATGTCGAATTAGTTCTTAAATTGGATAGAAATTCTATTATGAAAGAGTTTTCTACAAATTGAGATGATTATTAGGTGCAAGGAACTAAGGAAAATAATTCCACAAAGGAAAGAGCGGCGATCTAGGCACAAGAATTAGAGGAAAAAGTAAAGGGAAGAAGAGGGGATCTCTATTTGGAAGGTTGGCTTTGAGCTTCAAACTCCAGGAGCAGTCCGAGTTTATATCTAACGTCTCCACTCTCCTCTCTCTAGCGCCAACGACTTTGATCTTTTTGCTGTTGGGTTGAGCGGGTCACCCGCACACTCACCCACAAGGCCACAACCCACCCACCACCCGGCGGATGGCTCCTAGCGCAACCCGTCACCCACCCACAGACCCACCCACTTAACAAAATTCGGGTCAAATGCGGGTGGGTCGGCCCAAACCCGCGGATGATCCGCCCGCATGCCCAGCCCCAGTTAAAAGAGAAATCATGAAGAAAATAGCAAAATACAAAAAGGAGGAAGCTAAGTCCGGTTGTTGGTTAACAGGTTAAACTAATCATTGACTAAACCAATAGCTAGTGTCTAATCAAAATATGAATTATTGATTTGGTTAGAGATTAACTGTTTTGGGTAAGTGACTAACCACTAATCGAACCAATTAGCAGCGCTCCATGTAAATCAAGCATCAAATCGATCAAAATCAGTGACCGGAACGCGGGCAATAGCGGAAGGAGAGATCATGATTCATGTAATTTAACGACTGCTTCAAACTTCAAACTTTTCCCTCTGCGAATGGACCCTGCCGTAGAAAAATCATGGCCAATAATTTCTAATTTTCTATCCTCCAACCAGTGATAAAAAAATAAAACAATCATAAAAAAATAATTTTCAACGGTTTTGGTATCATCAACAATCAACGCTTCCAATTTCCACCTAAACTAAACAATCAATCAACCCACCCTAAAATAGTAAGCAATTTGTTTGATGAAATATGTAATTTATTAATAAAAATAATTCAGAGGGAACCTATATAAAATTTGAGTTATGCGTAGAGGTGTTCAAATAGTTATCAAACCAAATAAGTCTAAATTCTATTAATCATGGAATACAATATCATTAATCAAACCATCCAAACGAATACAACAACCAAATTGACCAAACTAAAGTTTAATCGGTTTGGTTAATTGGTTAACCGAAATAACCAATATACCATCACATTATCAGTAAGTGAGAAAATTTTCCAGTTAGTGCATAAATTTGCAATTTATATATTGAATAACACATAACAATCAAGACATAATTATAGTTAACCCTTAACATAAATACACGTAACTGATACAATTATCTTACATTTGAATCTCAAGTGGTTATGCAAAGTATTAAGTATGTGTGTATGAAATATTAGATATATGACTAATTACTTAACTGGTTAATTTGGTTAGATCAGTTAGGAGTCTATGAAACCAAACCAAACCACCTAAACCAAACAAGCTAAAAAATTTAACCAAACCAAACTAATTATCCAAATTAACCAAACCAAATCATCCAAATATTACTGGTTAAAACGATTACCACGGTAACCACTCTGTTTGAACACACCTAGCGTTAGTGCGAATAAAAACAAGTTCTTTTTTTTTTAGTAAAACACCATTGCAGTATTCTTTGTTGAATATCCACACCAATTTTAGCTCTAACTAAGAAACATGTATGTCTTTAGTCTTATAGTCCTCTTAAGAATTAGTTTATGAATTGTTTGGATGAAGTCAGACTGTGAGACAATTTTGGTTTAATTATCTCATTTTAAGATAATTTTCTTAAGTTTGACTCATTTTGCTATACAATATTGGGTGTCGAGGTGAGCCATTGGAATTAGAGAATTTCGAATCGTTTCATTTTGGACAATTACAATTGTTCGAGGAGATGATTCCAATTGTCTACTTTTTAAAGTATATTTTGGCGAGCTGGAAAAAGGAAAAGAAGACTTAACAAAAATAAAATACCAAATAAAACTCTAAAAATATTAAGAGAGACGGAAAAGTATAATCTGAGCGCCTGCAAATGCATTTTCCTTTTCCCTCACACAATTAAACAAAGCGGAATATAAGAAGAAAAAAAAGAGAACAGAAGAAGTAGCGCGTGCTTGAAATTTGCAGCAGCTGCTTCGTCGCCATAGTTGCTTCCTTCCAGCTCTTCTTCTTCTTCTCCAAGGTATATTCAGTTTACTACTCGAATTCGATTCCTTCTTAGCGTTTCGATTTCAGCTTACTTGGTTCCGTTTGAGTGTTTGACGGCGTAGGTTTGGACTCTGGAGTTCTCTTAATCTCTGTACTTCATTTCCATGAATTCAGCTGTTTGCTTGGCAGTGATCACCATCATCAGAAACCCTAGAATTCAGCTCCTCTGGAAATCCGCCTGGTCACTTGAAGGCAAATAGCTATGTGAATTTTTTTTTTTTTTGGGAGGGAGGGGAAGTTACTGCTGGTTACCAGAGAAGAGACGCAATGAAGTGTAGCTGCTTCCGTGCCTCCGCGGTTGGTCGGAAGGACGGCGCTGCCTCAACCTCCGCCGCAGCATGGGCTCATCACGGCGTTGATGGTGAGCAATTTTATTCCGCGGATTGAAAATTATCAAAATGCCTTTCTTTGCATGATGCTGAACTTTGCTATTTCTTCTGGGTGATTCACAGGCGATCTGCTTCGCGATGTTAACCATATTGCTTATAATACGCTGCGATCAGCAACGGAAGATTTCGATCTCAGGAAGAAGATCGGGAGAGGAGGTTTTGGTACAGTTTACAAGGTGTGCTTATTTGATATTTCACACCCACCACCATTGTTTGTAAGCCTTGTTTGAAGCTTGGAACTTGGAGAACGAACACAATGCTTGAACATGGTGAAGCAAGTTACTTGCCAGCTTGCCTCCATGTCCCCATTTACTAAAATTAGTAGCAGAGGGAGGATACTGCAATTGTCAATGTTCGTAATGGTGTCTTTGTTTTTGTTTTGTGTAATGTGGTTTAGGGAACCCTGAAAGATGGAAGGGAAATTGCTGTGAAGGCACTCTCTGTCCATTCAAAGCAAGGGGTGAGGGAGTTCTTGAACGAGATCAGGGCGATGGCGAAAGTTAAGCATCCAAACCTTGTGGAGTTGATAGGTTGCTGTGCACAAGGAGCTAACCGGATGCTAGTCTACGAATTCGTGGAGAACAATAGTCTTGATCATTGTTTGTTAGGTAAGTTCTATCCACCTTCGCTGGTCCAGATTTCCCATATTTCATGAGGCAATGTTACTGAACAGCTGCTTTAGATAGTTTATCGTTGGCACCTAGGTTTGAACTTAGATTACGGTCGATGTTGTCATCCTTACATTACAACTATGCCTACTCATTGGAGTTACAATGATGCTGAATCAGTTCCACTGTTGAAATTTTGCCTACTTCCAAAATTCAGGTTCAAGGAATTCAAACATAAGGCTAGATTGGGGGAGAAGAGCTGCCATATGCTTGGGGATAGCTCGAGGTCTCGCTTATCTCCACGAAGAGCTAGTGCCGCATATTGTTCACCGAGACATCAAAGCAAGTAACATACTCCTTGACAAAGATCTCAACCCGAAAATTGGGGACTTCGGGTTGGCCAAACTCTTTCCGGATGACATCACTCATATCAGCACGAGAATTGCAGGAACCACGTAGGTTTTGTGCTTAATGTTCCACTTTGCTTGTCCGTTTCAGTTGCAATAGCATGATAGTAAATAGTAACTTCCATTTTTACTTGCTTCTGTTCAGCGGTTATTTAGCGCCAGAATATGCACTTGGCGGCCAATTAACCAAGAAGGCTGACGTCTACAGTTTCGGCATCCTACTCCTGGAGATAATCAGCGGCAGAAGCAGCTCAAAGGCCAGCTGGGGAGGGACGGAGAAGCTCCTTCTAGAACAGGTAAAAGCAGAACACACGTCGAATTCCTACTTCCTTCATGAAAAAGCTTCTGAATGCATCAAAACAACCTCCTTCCTCATTTCCCTGAGCAGGCATGGCAGCTCTACGAGGAAGGCAGGCTCCTGGAGCTGGTGGACGCCGAGATGGGGGGATTCGACGACGAAGAAGCCGTGGTGAGACACATGAAAGTAGCCTTCTTCTGCACACAAGCCACCGCGAACAGAAGGCCGTCGATGAGCCAGGTCGTGGAAATGCTGTCCACGAGCACGCGGCTCAACGACAAGCTGCTCACGGCGCCTGGGGTTTTCCAGGACTCGTCGGACGGGGTCGGTGCTGGTGGAGCTTGTGTAAATAAGAGGTCAACTGCACAGTCTTCCAGCAACCATAGTTCCTCCGTTCCTGTGACCATTACTGAAGTCACCCCTAGATGAAAGATCATGAGAAATCTGCAGGCAATCACTCTAGCCCTTTCTTTTCCTTCTTAGTTTGTGCAAAGATCACAATTCTTTCAAGATTTAAGCCTATTGATAGTTGTCAGTAAAGCATAGTGTTAAGTAGGATTATAGCCATTAGGGTTTGCCAATCATCTTCCTTTTCGGGAGGCTTGTAATGGCAAAGCGTAGATAATGGGGAAAGCTATAATGGAGATTTGGTATTAAGATTTGTCTTAAAGTTGAAAGCGTCCACTCACTTACCCACCACCACCAACTGATTTTTCTCCTTTTTTTTTCTTCTCTCCGTTACGTGTGGACTAAGCTTGTTTGGATGTGTGTGATTTGCTGAGATTGTGATGATTGGCTGTAGAATTGTCTGAAAAAGCCTCATTAGGCTACGTTAGAATTCAGGAGAGGAAATACTAGGAAGACCGCTTCAACTTGACTCATTTGATTCGACCTGTTAGAACTTCTCTACGTTTTAGATCTCAATTATCATTTCTAGATTACATGCATCATCGTAATGATTTATCGACTGGATTTTGAAAACTTTGACAATTTCTTAGCAATGTCAATTCGGTCTTAGCAATGTCAATTTCTTTATCCATAATATGAATCCACCATTTCAAGATTAATTTTTCCGATTATCCAAAAATTAAATTCAACTGCTTAGCTACTCCGATTGATTTTTGTTTACAATTGAAATCATTATCACTATTATCAGTTTCAATCAAACCATGAAACCCAAAAATCATTAACAGTCAGTGAGAAACACAATGGACAAACCCATTTGATCTAGATTTTAAGGGGGAATGCCTATTTTGGATTTCCAGTTTTCAACCAAGATATCCAACCCACACGACTAACGTTGTCACATCGAGTCGAATAAAGAAGGCTTGTCAAAATCTCAATGTACATGTAGAACTCAGATAACATTTTTGTCACTTCATCATCACGTATCGCGTTACCCACTATGCCAACCACTTACCGTAACCAATAATCTAACCTTCCAAATTTACCAATTCAAAAACATCTTCATTCATGTAATCCATCCATTTCAAACACACGGGTTTCAATAATCCGACAATCTCAAGAATTCCACAGAAGTGTCTAACACCCCAAACTAACTACACTACATGATAAAACAGTTTGATCGCAACGTAAATGTTTCCGGACACGGCGACAAACATAGGAGAAAAGAATATGGTATGTCTCTCTATTCAAACTAATAGCAAAACAAGCAAAAAGAAAACACGTTCATACAATACAACACGAGAATACAACAAAAAAGAGCGGGAAAGAAGAAAAGGACTAGAGAGGAAACCTCGACCTGTCAAGGAGCAGGATCCATATGAACAGATCCAGGTACAAGGTCCTCGAATCACGAAGAACCCAAATGGGAAACTCCGTCGGACAATTATAAAGATCATACATAAGAAAAAGGAAGTATGGAATCAGATGAGTGATGAGAGGAAGGGGAGGTTCAGAACCTAGGCACTTGGCGGCGTCGATTCCTGTTCTGCAGCGGGCTGGGCAGTCTCCTCGGCAGCGGTGGCAGCAGGAGTCTCTGGTTGATGATCAGTCGTGCCATTAGCAGTCGCGTCCTTGGTGGTGGTGGTGGTGGTGGAGGCAGAAGCCGGTTCTTTCCCGGCCTTGGCGGCATCTTTGGGGTCGGCGGTCTTCTTCCCGTCTTTGGCAGGAGCAGCAGGAGGTGGTGGTGGAGGGACCATGTGCGGCGGTGGAGTGTGCTTCAGCTTCAGGAGTATCTGACGCATCCTGGCGAGATCGGTTGGTTTACCGGGCTTTGGTCCTTGCATCACAGTGATGGAAGGCTTCTTGTCCTGATCCTTCTTGCCTCTCTTCTTCTCGATATTAGGAACCTCGCGAGGGATGATCTCGGCTATTGCCTTCCAGTACTGCTTGTCGGCTTCCTTGTGGAATTTCTCCTGGCCGGCCAAGGAAATCTGATACAAGAAGGCAAGGTTTGAGAACCGTGTTTAACGAGTTGAAAGAGCTAATGAGGGTAGTAAATGGTACTAAAGATTTCAGGGAGTGAAGGGATTTTTACCTTTTCCCTTTCTCTGTTGGTTGTCTTGTTCGTCTCAATGTTGAGAGCTCGCTTCTCGTAGAAAGCAAGAATGTACTTCTCGCCTTCTTCGATTATCTGCTGCCTCAGTTCCTTCTCTTTCTTCTCCTTCTCCTCGAGGTAGATAGCGTTTTGACTGCCAAATGATAACCAGAAATCTCAGTGCATACTGTTATGATCATTATGAAATAAGTATCACTACCAAAGTTGCATTAAGCCTTAACTGCGTTCACCCCACAAGTAAACACGATTCACCCGATATATTCACTAGATTACAAGTTACTATTCCATATCTTGATAACGTACCAGAACTAGTGCAACTCTAACCACAAATGGTAACATCCAATTTCAACTTCTATGCAGAAGTTTATTTAATCCTGTCTCAAAGCAAAGATGGCAACAAGAAAAGCAAAAGAATCACCACAACTAATTCAGGAAACCCCACGAGCCATGACTTCAAAATGAAGCCATGGATCTAACATACATACCCTCATCAAAAGAATACAGAATTTCGATCTCAAACTCTAAACCAGGAATGGATGCTTGAAGACATTAGCAGGTTATTCTCTATCCATGGGACACAGGATTGAATAAAATTGGATCTGAAATCGTCTAGATCTTTCGCCGGCTAGATTCCCCTAAACTTCAGTAAGCTTTCTACTAAAGACTAATCAACTCTGCGTTCTAAATCCTCATCATGATTCGGAAGCACAGCACAGAAATGGCGGCGGAAGGATTGGAACTCACAAAGCAAGCTATTCCATACACAGATCTAAGCAAACAGTGAAATGGAAGATTGGATCTACAACGAGCAGCTGAAATAAACCAATCGAAGAATTTTCGAATTAAAAAAGAGAAAACCCTCACCGCCGCCACTCGCGAAGAGCAGCGCCTTCCTCGACCATCTCAGTCGGCGGAGGCAGCACGGGGCCATCGGAAGTGAAGATGCCTTCGTCAGCCTCGCCGTAGCCATTGCCGTTGCCGTTCTCGGCGTGGATCGAGCCGAAGGGGCCCTGGGAGTAGCCAGGGTTCGGATCCAGCTCAGCTGAAGAAGATCCGAATCCGAATCCGTCGGGGGAGGCGTCGGCGGCGGGCTGATCCACGGGGATGTCCCCGGTGGAGAACTCCGGCGTGCCGCTGGCGAAGTTGGAGTAGGAGCCGAAGTTGGAGTAGCTCTCCTGGTCGCCGCCGTCGTCGTCGTGGAAGGACCCGTGGTTCGAAGCTTGGACCGCTGCTTCTCCGTCGATTCCGTATCCTTCGAAGGCCGCCATGTCTACGCCTACCCCTCTATCTCTCTCTTTCTTCTCTGTACAACAGCTCACCTCTTTCTCTCTCTACACCTCCGAGGCTGTGATAGAATTGAAGCTCGTGCGTTCTCTCTCTCTCTCTAGAAATGCAGTGGAAGCTTCAAAACTATTTGAAGACAAGTGTTGCTATTTTAAGGCGGTTGTTTGACCTTTTTATATACAGAGCGGTGACGAGGCGCAGAGAACTGAGAAGAAAGGGGAAATGTTTTTACGTTTTCACCTCCAAACGAGGATCACCAGACCTGGCCGACGTCGTATTGAGGCCATTGTCCCTTTGTGTTGTAACACGAAACCACATCCGGTTTCGCGTTACAATCCACAATTGTGCATCGTATTTCCAAATCTCATGATCATCTGATAACAGGTTGTGAGCGTTTTATTCAATTCTTGCATGACAGGAAGATATTAAGCACTTAAGCGAGATAGTTCTATACTTCTATTTACTTTGGTTTTCTAATCTTCCATTTCGTCTCTGAGATATAAATGATTATCAAATTAGAATTTAGTAAGATTAATTAATACTATATAACACAGTTTTATAACTAGCGAGAAACTAATGAGAGAAGATTATAGTCTACTATCACTCTTAGAATGAAAAATAATCTAATCTCAATCGAACATTTCTATACCAAATTCTGCCGGTAATTCATTGGCACATTCTAAATTTGTTCCCAACTCAGTGGCCGTTGTCCTTTGTTTTTATTTCCAAAACAGATCTCAGTGAGAAGAATTAACTTAAGATAATTAAAACGATGAGCAGAATAAAATTAAAATGAAACGAATTTTTACATTACAAGCTGATATTAAATCCAGAAAATTCTGCAAAGAGAACATTTCCTGGCTCTCTTCTTTACAACGACACTAAAATAATCTAAATATCAAATTACACTTATACCCCTTGCGCATTTCCGATGGGCGACGTGTCGGGTATTGCCGATGATCATGGGCCTGCTCGTCACTTTGGGCTTTATAACTATTACAAAGATCCAGCCCATTAATATTCTCCCCGGCTATAAAATACCCTACAACCAATTCTGGGCAATCAACCCAGATAACAATACACCTACACTACAAGACTAGCAATTCTGGTATACTACAGAGCTCTCCACATGGTCATGGAGGACATTTCAATCTGCCGCGCGGTTACAACCTTAAAGTGACACCACTGCACAATGATCGAGATCAAAGCTGAACTGCACTGCAAGGCAGCAACCCCATGCAGCAGCTTCCAGGGTTAATCTACAGGGCTTTACACGAACACCGTCGAAGAGGTTGGGATCAGTGGTCTGGAAATGGAGCTTGGCTGCGATTTGCCCGATTGCTGCTTCCCTGCTCATGTTTATCAATATACATAAACATCTTCCGAAATCAAATATGTTTCTTCCGGCCACTGCCTGCTTTGCAGATGGATGGCATTCGTCAATCACGATTCACAACTGGCATTGATCACACCGACGATTGGGCAAAAAGGCTGCTGTCGGATAGTGGCGGAGGAAGAACATTCAATCAAGGCAGAAGCAACTGAATCTGTTGCATTCGGGAGAGAGCTTCAGGCACGGACCGCCATCTGTGCCTCGAGAGAGCAAACAGGCCATAAGCTTCCGCTGAATTCAGATCCTTCATCAATGGAAAAGGCAACCCAAACGCCCTCCAACTATGCAACTGGTAGATTAGGATCTTTTTTCAACACTTGCTTGCTTCTCTAGATCAAAACTGGAACAAGCGGGAATCATAATAAGGTTCTTCAAGGGACAGCAGGGGCATTCTTTGGGTATCGAGCAGAAGCAGGCATCCGCTGCTGCACCATTCGTGGGAAATCTGGCTTCATACGTTTGTTTGACATCCCTTGCAAGGACCTATATCCAAATGTCCAGGGAAAAGAAATACAATTATCAGAAAAGATGAAAGTGGTGAATTATAGGGAAAGCAAATTTCACTCACTGAGTGCACTTGGGCAAAAAGACAAATTCTTGGGAGCCATACATCAGATATGAGACAGGGAGGCAGAACAAACCTAGGGGAGACCTGACGCTTCGGTGTTGATTGACCAAACATTGTTCTTAGACTTCCAAGAGCCTTGTCAGCAGCCTGACAGACAAGCAAATTACAAATAAAACATCAGATATATGATAGATCACATTTCATCAGTTGAAAGGTCAGTAATGAATGGCACGGAAAATTGTTTTACCTGCATTCTAGCTTCATCCCATGTAGATCCAATGCCCTTCCCCATAAGCTGTCCATCTACTTCAACCTAACAGGTGGAGGCAGTTCAATAAGTGCAGGTTAAAAGACCCATCAAATGAAAACATCACAAATGGAGTAAAAAGGCCTAGGATAATGAAGAACCGGTGCACAATCCTTCAATATACTTGATAAAATAAACAAAATATAAACCTCTAGCGGCTATATAGCTCAACCCATTCGCTCATCCTAGAGGACTGTCTTAATAAAAAATCATCCAAGTATCAAAGGTTCCTTCTCTCTTTGCGTTCTTTTCCTTCTATCATTCCAACTTACCAATGAAAATAAAACCGCCCTGCACAACTTACTCAACTCGCAAAAAGCACGGTACATGCTAAACATTCTCAAATTGTATTTGAATAAGAAACATAAGAACTGGTCATCATCCAAACCTGTGCATAGACTTCATCAGAATTAACTGACGTGGGAGTCTCTGGGAGAAATCTCATCCCAAGGCCTTCCATCATGCACTGAAGATATATTAAATATCAGAACGTAAGCTTAACAGGAAGTTTATCATATCTACTCTGCAACAATAAATAATAAAATAGAGTTGGAAACTTTTGGCACTTACAAAATCTTTGAGAGCAGTAACTGAACCCGAGAATCTCTTAGAACCTTCAAACCTCGGATCCAGGGGAGGAAACGATACAATATCATCCTTTGGAGCTGATTGATCGCCAAATGAACCAACATTAGCAGAGAAACCATTTTCGTTGACACCAGAGTATCTCCCTGCATCTCCATGCAAAGATACAGAATCTGGCATCGAACGTGAAGTATACATACCTTGCATAAACATGGTGCACACCAATGTCAGATTTCCAACGGCATGAAGTGACTCCATTTTCAATGCTGAACGAACATCAAATTCATGCAAGTCCAGATTACAAGAACAGGATGTAATGTTTCGCAAAAATAAAGGACTGGATGATACTTCAAGTTAGAAGACATGGGAAGATGAAACAGATCCTATGGCTTCTTGTATTAGAGTAAATACCTGTTGAGCTTCGAATAAGGAAAGACATTATCACTACCACAAACATCTGTTAAGTGTGTTTTTCCTTTATTGTGGAGTAAATAAGCAACAATGACAAACCATTCAATAAAGTCTAACGAACTCAACATGGACATGAGCAAGAGAACACAAAGCAACAACTCATAAAAGATGCTAGGATGTGGGTTAAAAGCTTCTTAAAATCAAATCAGATCCACTTCAGATTCTAGTCCCACTGCTGTAAGTATTGAAAGCAAATAAATGAAAGATGTAACATCAGGCATAAAGAGATCTTTTTGATAAACTAACTAGTCAGAATCATACTAGCAAGAGTCTTCAGAGAAACAAAAGCTGCCACACGTTGGGCTTCTCTTCTAGTCCTGCCAATACCTTCACCAACTTTATCTCCTGCAAACCAAACCTGCAAAAGTATGGGTAAGCACGTAGAAGTCAAAAATCTAGAACATTGCAACCCAAAGAATTTACCAGCGATTTCCCACAAAAAACAAGAATTCATGAGCCTAGAAAACCTTCACACCTCAGTGGAGAACTGTAGATCCCTGCTAGCAACCAACGAATGCCTGAAATCCACCTGTAGTTTTGCAGCAAACAAATTGAGCAATGAGATACAGGAAATGTAAACATCATAAGATATATAATACAGCATCAAAATAGCAGTCCCAACTCAAGTATTTCAGACCTTGGTACCACACTTCACTGCAATATCCAGCAACACTCTAACGGGAGATTCTGCAGTTGAAACAGGTCTTTCCATTTGAAAGTCAAGGTCCCTGTTGCTAGATGAACGACTCGATGGTATAGCCTCACCTTAAACACAGAAAACAACCAAGATGTCATGAGATTGGAACAACATACATGAAAAGTGAAGAAAACAAATAAACATATCCACATAAGGATCATCTCAATGCCATAGCATGCTGTAGGAAATGAAGCTTATCACCAGAACTTACCTTGGAAAGAATGGTAACTGGACAAGGTGTGGCCTAACCTTGGCCTGTCGTCTCTGTAAGGTACCTGTGTATAAATGAAGCCAATCATTACGAAGTCAGAGAAATACCACTAAATTTAGGCAAGACCTGATACCAAAGTAGCGGTCAACATACCTCTTTTGGCATTCTTTGATTGTCATGAACCATTCTATCAGGTGGAATAAAAGTATCAACCTTAGGGGGAAATGAGGGATGATGAGGTCGGTGTTTTTCAAGATGCATTGGCACAGGCTCCGGCGGAAATTCTCTAGGTATCGGTCTGTTCAGCTGTCTAGGACTCATCTCTTCCTCTGCCGGAACCCAACTTCCACGAGATTGCACACGTGGGGCTGCAACTTGTACCTGAGGTCTTCCTGGAAATGGAGGCTCAACAGGTGGCAAGTCTCTCGAATCTTGCCCATGTTGCAATATAAGTAGTCTCCTTCTCGTATCAGGATCTAGCTCGGATTCTGGAACCTCACCTTCTTCTCTAGCAGGAGAACCAGAGAAACTTGGATCTGCAGGGCCAACCTGACCTAAAGGTTTAACTAACGAAGGTGCCGGAGCAAACTGTGCATTAGAAAATGGCATGACAGATGGCTGTGTAGTTGGCAGTGGAATTGATCGTGAAGAAGACGCCATCGTGAAAAGAGATGATACCAGCCTTGAGTCCAGGGTGGGAACTGCTGGAGGTAAGACTGAAGAAGTTGAAGCTACTTCCTATAGAAGTCCACGGAAAATGGAACTAAAATTAACTTGGTGACACCGAAAGATCAAAATGGTTAGGCGGACACCCTACATTGTCTACACGAACAATGGGCTTAACCAATCTAAATGGCAGAAAGACAACGAAGAGAGTAGGAAACCTTTAGTCGCCGTTCAACTTCAGCATCTGCCATACCATCAAAAGAAAGGGGATCTCTGTTTCCACTTGAAGCTGAGGGGTCATCCTTGTATGGACAATATGACTTCTCAGAACAAAGAAATTGTAATGGGTAGGCCAGGAAGAGTTACTCCAGACAGAAAAGACTATATGACTAACCTCTGAAACCAAGTAATTGCTCACATCAGGAGGAGACGGAATATCTGAAATATTGTCTTCGTATGAAATCTCGGGTATTTTTTGCAGAAGACCCTCATCAAAATCTCTGTTTAACAATTAAGGATCAGGTCGTGTCGAAATAAGTATAAAATGACGAGTTTGGGCACATTTTAACAGCTTCAAATATGGGCCAACCGACTTCAGAATGTTAACCTACTTGAAAAAACCGCCTCTAATATTGCATGCAACATTTCTTGCCACACATAAAACTGGAATTTCATTATTTGCCTGCAATACAAGGAGATGATTATGGCATGCTCAGATGAATCTGAGGGGGCACATTGGACCAAATGGGTAATACAAAGAATCAGTTTCCAACTAGGTGCCAAAGGGAAGATTAGAACAAAAGATGCATAGGACAAAGGCAATAGAGAACATACTTCAGCTTGGGGAGCATAATATGGAGCAAATGCAGGAACAACGTGCACCCGAGATTGATCATTATCATCCCAAACTTTCAAACGATCATCAATCACCAATGCCATCTTAGGATGACAGGTTCCATCTTGGAAGACATTGAACAAAGACTTCCTTAGACCTAATAATGCATAGCAACAATATGAACACCGGCTATAAGGGATCATCAAGATGCAATTATAGTTATAAATTGTCGAAGTAAGAGAGGAAAGAAGCCAAAATGTGAGGAACAGTTGATTAGCAATGCCATGGTGCTTACCAGACTTGACACACACAATGCGGTCCAAAAGTTCTTTTGAGTTTATTAAATTTGACTCTGGATCAAGTAGCCTCCACATTTCTAAAGCATAGTCTCTTTCAGCCATTGTGCAGACATACACTTCAAAACGCTTACGACCTCTAGCAGTCAAGTAGCTTCTCAGATCCTCCCATGCAGGCCTCAACCTCACAAGAACACTTGTGTCACGAATCTACAGATAAAAGCATAACCCCATACTTAGGTAGTAGGTACACATAATACACATGCCAGGAACTTTATATGCGAATAAAGAAGATGTGAGCATAAAATGCCTATGTTGCAGATCATCTGCAAAACTAAATGCATATACAGAAATGTAAGCGAAGTAGCAACTTCTCCCATCAATGTTGGAAGAAAGCAAATAAATGGCTCCAGCTCAGAGAAATGTAATGATGTAACACATATCATTTATATGATGACTACCTTCTAAAAAAGGCAGCACAAGACCAAGATGCAACCACATATTCAACTATATAAACACATGGGTCATATACCTGAGGATTGATGCGAGTCAGAATAATGTTTTTGTCTGGTAACCGAATCAAAGGACGCACTATAGGCTGATGGCTGTCGGAAACTGGAGGGACTATCTCAGACTGAGTTCTCAACACCTTCCCATTATCAGTCACCTGATCACTATCAGCGTATTGCTTCAATATGTTCTTGTCATCCTGATAACGCTTCACTTCAGCCAGCATACCTGAAACCCGCTGTGGGTCTACCTCGGTGCTTATTTTCCTCTGCAGAGCATCGATTCTATCTTCAAAAGATCTCATCGTGTTTGCAACGATTAGAGTTTCATCAAGATCAAATACAATGCCAAGGCATCTCAAGTTCAGCATGACAAGGGATGAGTCATACAGCCCTGCTGCAACGAGGAATCCCCAGAAACATGGCTTTTCGCTAGTTCGGGAATGCATTGCGACCAAATGGAGCTCATCCCCTCCTACCCGCATCACTGCAGTCTGAATAAAACATCATACTTAAGCAATCAGTATCTTAAGCAAAAAGAAGCAAGGGGAAAAAACAACGCTCAGCACCATAACCATCACCAAAACTAGCTTCTACATATTCGAAGATACTGAGCTACACTACACCGGCTAAGTTTCTTGTCAATCTAATTCCTATACTCCTACATCCCATCTCTATCATCTACTCCTAAGGCCCAGCTCCATGGGACAGTCCCCATATTACAACACAAATGGTGAGCTCAAGTTTCTGGACACCAGAGCAACAATACCAATACACTCACTCTAAAATCTATGAACTCGCCATCACTCCCGCTATCTCCCAGCTTGATGCAAAGTCAACATTTCTGATCAGGATAATGTTCCACATTCATACAGTTGGTTCCAATTAGTCACATTACAAACAGGAAAAAGATGCCCCAAAAGTTCCTCTCACGTATTCAGACTCAGTTAACAATCTCTCCTTCCCCAAGTTTCTTTTAAAGCACTTCCTTAGGTTTGAATTGCTATACCTTGTTCTCTTGGATAAGTGTGGAGTGCAGGAAATGCAGCGGCGTGAGCTGCTGCTGCTGAGGCAGCGGCAGATTCCTGGGCTGCATTTTGAATAGTATCCCAGTCGAGGTAATGGTATGCAACACCGCCAGCGGCGGGCACCTCTCACTCGCCGGGGAGAAGTGGGTTATTCTGATTTCCCTGCCGGAAACCAGTATCTCGTCAATTACCCTGTTCTTGTTCCTCAAGTTGAAGCTCTTGTTCTCTCCATCCACCACCACTTCTCCTTCCTTCTGCTGCGCGTAAATCTCTACTTCCCCCATCAACTCCTCCCCTCTATACACCACCGCCGATTTCCCCATCATCTCTTCACCGACAAAATCGGTCAAGGGGGTTTCGATTTCCTTTCTTTTAAAGCCTAGGTTTTCAGTGGAGACTTGTTTCCTTTTTCAAGCGGTCAAATCCCAAAGTCAGTCAATCGGAAACCCAAGTCTCGTCATCGTCCTGGCCTTCGTCCACATCGAATCGATCGACAAGTTTCTCAGCAGAGAGAAAGAAAACAAGAGAAAAGGAAAAGATGGAAGGGGGGGAAATTTTCCTTTTAAGGCTCAAATCGTGTTTAAGAATTAAGATGATAGTAATATGATTCGATGACGAAGAACCCACGTTGGTTTAACTCCGAATCGCACCGCCGACGATCGGAATCGATCTTCTTCGATTGCTTTGGATATTACCAAGGTTCAGGTCTCGTAATACGGGGAAAAAGGTCGTCGGCGTCGGCGACGGCGGGGGTGGGGGAAACGGTGGAGCTAGGGTTTGCGATCTGTGATTTGTTGTTTGTATGTGTCTCTGTTCTGGCTGTGATGTTAAGGCTTTAAGCTGGTGGTGGAGGAAAGTGTCGACGAGAGGCCGGGGAGAAGAGAAGCGGAGGGGGGAAACCCTAGATCCAGATTGCGAAAGGTCAGAAAACAATACCACACATTTCTAAAGAAAGAACGACGTAGACGATGATGATAATTGATACCACGGAGGTGCGGTGCAAAGAAAACGAAAAGCAAATTGCGCAATTAAATAAGCGGAAATATGGGGAAAAAAAGACGTAATCACCCCTCTTGGTTTTGCTGTTTTTCTTGGCAATTTCTTTTTCTTTTCGTTGAATTTTTCTTTTCTTGACAATTCTCTTTTTTCTTTTTTCCAACTTTTTATTGGTGAACATGGAATGTACTTAGAAATAGAAACATTAACCTAATCGAAAAAGAATTAGAAACATTAATTAATAAAGGAAATGGTTGAGGTTAGCAGTTTTTTTTTTTTTAAACCAAAGATGTTTGCGTTACGCATAAATCAAATGTTTACATCTTTGAATGGAGCCAATCGCAAAAATCAACCATATTGTTTTTTCTATCAATGAACTGTGCTAACACTCCTGGGTACTCCTGGCGCAAAGCCAAGATCTCACAGAAAAAAGTGCACCCCCTTTCGCACCGTTCACACATCAGGCGTTAATTTTTGTCAATAATCCCTTCAGCATCCCCTTGGAGTACCACCGAATTTAGTCCTCTAGCAACACACCAATGAACTGCTTCCCAAAACGCTATTATTTCCACCATCGATGGATCGAAAAGCCCTTCGAGGCACTCTCCTTTAGCCAAAACAATCCCACCATATAGGCATCATGAATAATCAGCCTATGGTCACATGAGAGTCTCTACTCTCTACACAAAGCCCCCATCAAAGGAATACACCGCGCCTTAGACATGCCCATGCCCAGCTTATTGGTTGATCATCCATACCCTCAATGAGACCAGCCCCTGTCTTCAGTCCATCCCCAAGTCATTCCTTCCAAATACGTGAAATTTATTTTTTGTAAAAAAAGAATTTAGCAAATGTACTAGAACTATTATTAAAATGGTAGTATGTGAATAACAATTTTATTAGTATAATATCAATCGTGGACCGCTAATTTGATGATCATCATAGACTTTTCGATATTATATAATATATATGTAATGATCACCTAAAAAGTATCAAATAATAAATTCATGAGAACTAGTTGTATACTTATTCAACTAGTTGTAATGTACACTAGATAGTAATGTACACACATGACACAACGATTAACATTAACGATGTAATGAGCACTAGATAGTAAAGTTCTGATACTAGTTGTATACTTATTCAATATGTCTTGTGTTTGTTTCGAAAACAACTTGCAACACTTTGTGTCTTTATGTAATGAATTCAATATATCAAGTTGATAATTCACGGCAATAGGGTTGTAAACTTGTTGAATACTAGTTGTAACATGAGGAATATGTAATTTGTTTGTTCCAAATGTGAGTTTCAACATGTAGTATGTCTTATGTAATGAATGTTGGTTGCAAAAGTGTTTGAATAAGTGCTCTGTTTTGTCGGTTTCTCTACAGATCGGGAAAGCGGAGAATCGACAAAGCAAGAAAACGTAAGTAATAAGCGAACAAGAGACACAGATTTATGTGGTTCACTAACACAATGTGTGTTAGTTAGTCCACATATAGGAGAGATCCAGTTTCATTATACTACGAAGAGATACAAATTACATAGTAGTATGAGAAGTATTTATAGTACTTCCCCATGTGGTCTAACCCTAATCCAATATGGTAAAATAATAAGATTACAAACCAGACCCACAACAGAAACCCAAACGTCATAGATCCCATACTCCGTGGATCGAGGGCGTTGACCCTCGTCTCCAGTCGCAACCAAATGTATGATTCTAATCATATCAACAAATCTCCACCTTGACTTGAAACATCTCTTTCGAAATGTCTAATGTATTTTGATCCTTCTCTCCCTCCTGCCATCAATGCCCCTTAATGCTGATTCACCCATTCAAAACATTTAGAAAATCCAAGCATTGTTAGAACTTGACACGTGGAACCGAATTCGTGAACATGTCAACAAGATTCTCCGCGGTGCCAATCTTCTTAATCTTAATTCTCCTCTCTATCGTCAAGAAATGATACATCGCATCAATGTACTTAGTCCTGCTGGACTTGATCCTTGGCCAAGCATTTTTTACTCAAACTGTCACAGTAACCACTGTCTGATCATGATGTACACCCAGATCACCAATCAGTCCATTCAACTATATTCCCTCCTTAACAACCTCTGTCAACGCCATGTAGTGGACAATGTCATTGTCGACTGCATAATTGCTTTCAACTCAACACATAACTCTCAAGAGTGAATACATATTTGGTCATGGATATCCTCATGTCAACATTTTCGGCATAATTAGAATCTGAATAACCAGCCACTAAGCACTCTATATCACTTTCGAAGCAAAATCCCACATCAGACGTACCCTAAGGTACCGAAATATCCTCTTCACGGCCTGCTAATGTTAATTTACAGGTTGCAACATGAATCTGTTGACAACTCTAACTGCATGTGCAAGATATGGTATAATGCAAACCATAATGTACATCAAACTACCTACTACACTAGCATATGAGACTCTCGGCATGCACTCCTTCTCAACCTCTGACTGCGGTGCATAAACTGAGAATAGATGAACATTTGAACCATTAGGAGTATTCAAGGGCTTTGCTGAAGACATGCAAAACCTGGACAATATCTTTTGGATGTAGCTCTCTTGTGACAAAAAGAGTATTCAAGGGCTTTGCTGAATACCACAAGGACATTTGATGTAGTCTAGCTCAAGTATGTAGCTATCAAACCTATCGTATCACTGCCTCGGAGATTGCTTAAATCCATACAAGGACTTCTTCAACTTACAAACATAGTTTTAATAATATGGATAATTTATAAATCTTATTAGTCCTTCTAACAATATAGGTCTAATAGTATGGATAACTTATACATGTTATTGGTCTATATCAAAATATATTAATAGGAAAAAATTCTATAATATTATGATGTGAGTGTTCAGAGAAATTATTTGTGGTATATCAGTGAACTCATAGGTATCCATGCACCCGTGAGCACTCATTGGGTTGGATTTTCTCTTCTAAAATTCATTGGCTATTTTATTGGTTTTATTCTGGTGCACCCGATAGATTCGGTTTGAGCTTCAAACAATCCAACAAACTGTCATCCCTAGTTGCCAACATTAAGTTTCTGGTGTGTTTATGAGATTTTATTTATACGACCCAAACTACCAATTTCAATCTTCAGTGACATCATTTCATGCGTCATGAGCGCTTTCAATTCCAATTATTCAGTAGATTTGTATTATATGGAGAATTTGGAAGACTGGTTATAATGTGGGTTTGAGCTTACTCAATCACAAGTCTGTATTTTTATTTGTGCCTAATTTACTCAATTGATCTTGATATTTTCCTCTTCAATCCCTCTCGGTCATGTCCCTCTCCCTCCTCAACTTCCTCCATATGATTTTGCTTTGTGACTTCCTTATCCCGATGTTTTCTTGAGAATGACACATAAAACTTTATAGAAATGGAGTCACTATTGCAGGCTCCCTGTTGTGAGGATCTAAAAAATTGGGATGTTTCTGATAGTGTTCTCTCTTATAATTTCTCGAGGAAGAAACATAAAATGATTCGTAAAAGGTGTCTTCGACTCTGTTCGAGTATCAACTACTTTATGTTAGTACCATGTGAGTATTTATGTTTGTACACGAAACTTCTAGTCTCATATAGTCATATACGATCCGCCCAAATGTGAACTTCACTATGCATTGCATGTTGTGAAATTTAATCGTGAACCGGTTACGGTTGCATCATCACCACAAGAAATACACGCGTTAAATACGTGCCGATCCGAACGCGTCGAATTACCAAATCACCCTTACATTTGGCCACAGCTGCCGCAAGCCCGCAACCAACAAAAGACCGGCGGAGCTCCAACAGGCCGCAGCCGCACTGAATCCCACAACCGGACCCGACCCGACCCACGTCAGAACAAAAGTAAATCCCCCAATCTTTAACCACCAAACGGCTACACCTTCCTTCCGTCTTCTTCTTCTCCATCTCCGGTCGTCTTGAATCCTCCGCTGCTCCACTCTTCTTTCTTTCCTTAGCTCTCACCCCACCTCCATTTTTTTCAAAAAGCTCATCTTTGTTCCGTTTCCCAAAACACCCTCGAACCCAGCAATCCGCTTTTCCTCGTATTGAAGATAAAACAACTACAAAGGGGAAGAAATTTCAAATTCAAAGCGATGATCGTCAGGACTTACGGCCGCCGGAGCAGGTCGTTTTCCGATTCACCTGACGACGACGACGACCTTGCTGGGCACGCATTCGGCGGGGACTCTTTCTCCCTCTCCCAAGAGAGCCCATCTCAGGATTTCTACGACTTCCCTTTCCCTTCCCAAGAATCGTCTTCTTTCTGGCCCTCCGCCGCCTCATCCTCCTTCGATCCCGATCCGTACGGGTTCAATCCTTCCTCCTCCCAGGAAAATTCGGCCCCTGCCAACGGCGTTGCTTCCAGGAAGTCGAAGAAACCAAGAAACGGGGAGTTGGAGAAGAGGGGTGGAGGTGACGCGAGGCCGTGGGTTCCGATGACTTCTACACTAATGGAGGCGCAGGAGTTCGGAGAGATGATGGAGCACGTCGACGAGGTTAATTTCGCGCTTGATGGGTTGAGGAGAGGGCAGCCAGTGAGAATCAGGAGGGCGAGCTTGTTATCCCTCTTGTCGATTTGCGGCACGGTGCAGCAGCGGCGACTTCTTAGGGCTCAAGGGTATGCGGCTCTAAATTGAAATTTTGAAAAAAACCCTTTGGTGGTTTTGCTTCGGATTCGTTGAATTGATGTCAGTAGCTTCGAATTCGAAGCATTCTTGAAATTTGGTTCGTGGGTTATCTGGCTTAGGTTTCTCGAGAATTTAGGCATTCTGCAATTTGGATTCTTGGTTGGAGTTTCCGGGGGTTAAACTTCTTGAACTAGTGAAGTAGTGCCTAGGTCTGCCTTTGAGTGAGTGACTTGTGGAGCTGCGGTGAAGGAGGATGTGATCCCTAAAATGTATAAGATGTCATCTTGCAATTCGTTGCTGGAAATTCCCATTTGGAGATTACAGTTTGTTAAGTCTTTTAGTGAACTAAAGAGGGAGAGCTAGGGACTGCCTT